GCCCTTCAAAGCAGGGCCAATCCTGACTCACACTACTCCACTTTTTCAAAAAGAAAACGTTGCCCGCAACATAGTTCGAACAAGTCCGGTGGGTGCATTTTAGGCTTGTAGCCTCTATAAGTTCATGTCTTGAACTATGTTTGAAATTATGTTGAATTGTGACATGCCATGTTCAGAAACCCAAAATGCCTCTGCTCTTGCTTGTCCTGGGAAGGCTCTGGGAATGGCAGGTTGGCCATGCTTGTCTCACAGAATCTCCAACCTTGCAACTTGCAACTCCATGGGGGCCCCAAGATGAAAGAGAAGAGAACGGGAAAACCAAATTCCACGTCATGTTTGGCTAAGAACACGCATTAGGATACGCTAGTTGAAAAATCCTGGGAAACCAAGCGCGGCAGACACACTGAACCAGAAAACTGTTGGCAGAAAGTTTTTCTTTCAACCCAGCGATCCACCCTGCCAAATGTAAATTTAAACTTCATAAGTATTCAGCATAAAATAAAATAAGATGGTGTGTTTTGGTTTGACCTGAGTATTGTGCATGCTGCAATGGTCTATAAACTCCTCGCTGTTTGCCTGCAAACCTTCGACGCCACAACGTCATTGGCTTGTCCTCCCAAAAGTATCTGGATTCTGCGACGCTTTCTGTATCCTGCACCCAATGACGCCATCTATCAATGCAATGCTTGGCTCACCTCTCGGCTCAAAACTACACAGCCTGACTCATGACTCAGGACAACGTCTACTGCCGGTGTCAACACTGATAGAGGACACTGGTTGAAATAAACCTGTCATGTTTTGGTTCTGGCGTGCCACTTTGACAGCATCGGTTACTTAGTTACCAGTGTCAAACATGACACCCTGGCCTTCGGATTGCAAAGTCGACAACAACACCGTGCAACCCATGCCCGAATCAGCGATGGATCGGAGGTTCGTGATTTCTTGCTCTGTGACCATATCCGCTCCCTTGATCCCTCGTGTGTAATTTTCATCATCGACCTCAACAATTAAATCCGGAAGCTGGGGGGAAGCGTTGGCCACAGTGCCTGAAGGTTCCCCCTTCGATTTTTTTTCCGCCATGTTTTTTTCCGCAGTATTATGTTCCGAATCAGTTTGGGTTGAGGTGTGTTGGGCGAAGGGGGGGTTAGGGAGCGCGCAGGGGCATGCGGCTGGGTGGGGATGGGGGCGGGTCCCACACATGGTCTGCAAAGGTGGTAATGGGGGGATGGGCAAACCGAGCAATTGCTAAGGATATCTTCGGTCACCTTTGCTGCACTTGCTTGTGGGCGAATGAAACTTCATCCACGTGTGTGCAAAGCATCGCATCCAGTGTGCGATTCCCGTCCTGGTGAAAATAAACTAATAGACCAAATACAACGCAGGCATCACCTCTCGAAACTTTCATTCCAGCGGTCTTCGGTTGAATCCATGCGTAGGTAAAAGCCGTAGATCGGCACTCTGCACAGCAAACACGCTTCCATCTTGGAGGAAAACCCCGGGGTTCCCTTCATGCTTGTCTATTTCAACCCACTTGCTTGGAATGACAACGTGGCCTTCCTTTCCCGAAATAAGAATTGCAGCATCAATTTGTTTGTACTTCTCCCATTCAGTGGTGCAATCCGACGCGCACAAAGTGACAAGAAGGTTGTGCGAGCCATACCAAAATTCCCACCACGCCACAACCAGAGTGAACCAACATGTACAAAGTGACGAAAGGGTTGCTGGAGCGATATCAAAATGAACACCGCGCCACAAAGATTGATACAGATACACAGTTGGAAAAAGTCAAAAGACAATGTGCGCCGAGAGACATAGGCAGACACATAGACAAGATAAAGACAGATAGACAGACAGACAAGATAGATAATATAGGCGGATAGAGAGATAGGTAGATAGATGGACGGAAAGGAAGTAAGACGGACAGATATCTGGATAGAGAGTCGGAGAGACCGACAGACAAACAGACAGACAAACAGACAGACAAACAGAAATAGATAGGTAAATGGACAGACCGACTGACGGACGGATAAATAGGATAGGATAGGATGGGATGGGATGGGATGGGATGGGAAAGGATGGGAAAGGATGGGAAAGGATAGGATCGGATAGGATCGGATAGGATCGGATAGGATCGGAAAGAATGTGACGGGATCGGATTGGATGGGATGGGATGGGGTCAGGATAGGATAGGATGGGATGGGATAGGATAGGACAGGTGCAAATACAGACAAATACATGGATAGATCGAGCTGTTGGCCATGCTGTCTGCAGCCAGTAGGTCTGCATGAAGTGAGCGCTGCATGCATTGGAGCATCGAGTGAATCGAGTCCGTTCAGTAGTCGTGCATCCGGTGAGTGTGTCGGTCACTGATCAGCGGTTTGCGTTGCAACCCATAAGATTCAACAACCCTTCCTATTTTTAAAACTCCCGCCGCCGATGACACGCACAGAAGTGTGACATGCTTTTTGTGTGTATGCCAATACGGTTGCGCCCCAGGTGACTTGTTCAGTGTCTTTAGAAGGGGTTCGATGGCTGGTGTCAAGCCGGCTAAAATTCATTTGGTAGAGCATCTGGCTGTCGAGTTTGCAGAGATCAGATGGTCCCTGGTTCGATTCCGGGTGGCCGGATTTGCTTGTCGCCATGTGTGGATCAAGAGCTGGCAGATGTTTTGATGTGTTTTGGGCACAAGCAGGGATTCGAGCCCGGGTCTTGGTCCTGTGGTCCCTTGATCCTCTGGTCCCGCAGCCCCTGGGTCCTTACCCTCCTCATCCTGGTCCTTTACCCGTCTCATTCTTTGATCTCCGGAACTAACCCGTTCTGAGCCCGAAAACAACTTTGAATAGGGCACAAACCAACCTTTAATAAGACCTAAACTAAACCAGCCGTCCTACATCCCTAAAACAAATTGAAAGAAACGCCATAAAAAATATCCAAACAATTCCAACTAAGCTTTAAAATGACACCTAAAAACTTGAGCCAATGTTTTTTTTTGTTTTTTTTGGTGCCTTTGCAGGTTTGATGAGCTTGTCTGATGTTAAAAAGAAAGACATTATTTACAGTGTTTTGTGTCATTTTCATTCAAAAGTCACGTCCCCGTCCCCAAAAGAAATCCCCGGAAACAGTCGGACAATTTAGCTTGAACAGTTTCATTGCTGAACAAATTTTTGCCTGGTTTAGAGGCTATCAGAGTTGTGAACGATATGCGGCCCATTCGCTATCGAATTGTAGTACTCCTTTTCTGCAAGTGGCACAGCAATTTGGTTTCCCGTGGCAACACCCAGCACTTGAACCAGTACAAGATCCCACAAAGCAACAGACCATCTAAGCCCTGAATGCAACAAAGGTAAGGGAAAGCAGAAGGCAATGAACAACATGAAGTCCCTGAAGGACATGAAATCATGAAGTCCGTGAAGAAGATGAAAGGCATGAAGATGATGAAGGGCATGAAGTCAATGAAAACCATGAAGTGAGAGATACACTTTTGGTAGATCAACATTGCTACATGTGTAGTTTGCAGTTTTGAATCTGTAGCCTGTAGCTAGCAGACATGTTGTTGCAATCAGTGGCAAAACCATATATGTCAGTCATTGGTGCCACGTGTGCATGTGGGATATCGGGATGATTTCAGATATATACCCCTTATCGACTCTTATATCAGAAAATCTTGATTGTCCATGCGTAGTTTTTGCTGTAAAACCTAGGTCTTGGACCCCTTTCCATCACAAAACATTGTACATATTAGTATTTTGTGAAGGTTTTGAATTAAAACCCACGTCCCCATGAACCCCCGTTTTGGAGAGAGTAAAATTAAACCCTCAACCAGCACTAAACAACCCCATGCACTACATAACAAAAACCGAAATAGATTTTAAAACTACACCTAAACAAAGTCTAAACCAAAATTCAGTAGATCTTAAAACAATCCGAAGGAAACACCAAACCAGCATTAAATTCACACTACAACAACTTTAAACCGACACCAAACAAACACCAAACCAACCCCAAATCAACACTATAGCACACGCCGAAGTAAATTTTAAAAGAATCCTTACAGGAAACCTGAAGCAACCAAATGCAAACTTTAAACCGTAAAACAATTAAAAAAACACACGCCCAAACTAACCGTACAGAAAATTTAAAATAAACCAAAAGTAATCCCCAAATACACCCCAACCAACCTGAAACAGATCCTAAAACTAATTCTAGACAATATGTTGCAAATATCACGAAATCGTGCAGATAGCATCCTGTGTAGCACAGATGCTGGCTCCAAGATGCTGCGAGCACGGTGCAAGCAAGGGATTCAAGGCCAAAACGATTTAAATACCATGCAAACTGCATAATTAAATTCCAACACCCTGCAAATGTTGTGCAAATAAGAGATTTCAACCGCACATAAAATTCAAAAATTCAAGGCCAAAACGCTCTAAATATCATGCATAATGCATGTTTAAGTGTCCAAACCCGGCACGTATTGTACAAATAAGAGATTTCAGCTGCAAAAGGTTCCAAGTACAGATTCTTATTTTTTTTCCCAGTGTCTTATTTTTTTCCGAGAGTAGGGGAGAGTTTTTTTTCCAGTAGTCATTTTTTTTCAAGTGCCTACCCGGGAAAGAGAGAGCGAGAGAGAGAGAGAAACCCTGTATATTCAACACTTGCGTTTTCCATGCAAATGTAAGGGGACAACAGGTGCAACAACATACAATTGAGGGTTGGACCTAAATCTCCCGTGTTTCAGGTGCTTTGGTAATGTTTCCATCACTGGCTAGGAGTAGTGGTTTGACAACTGGTTGAGGCAACGTCGAAAATAGGTACATCTTGTGGGTGAAGTTGGTTGCGTGGATTGTTCTCTAGAATCTGGGTATGAAAATGGTCCATGGACAACCGCGCCAACATCATTCGCAAACAGCCTTTGTTTCCGCAGAATCTCTAAGGTGTTGTCGTGATCTTTGTTCATATTGATTCATTTTCTGCATGATTTTGGCTCGTCAGGTGACGAAAACGTCTCATTTGGATGGCCCCGAAATTCGGCCCCATTTCGGCTTAGGTTTCCAGAGCTGCTAGCGCCACCGGGCACACGGGTCGAAGCGGGCACCATGGCTGGCGCCGCCGAAGTGTCAAGTTTTACACTGGGTGTGCTGGTGCCAGGTTGCTCGGCACCAGGGATTGAATGCATTTTATTAGCGATGAAGGTGGTTTTGAAATTATGGAGGACTTAATGTAATGTGAATGTGATCAGTTGATACTGTATTGGCAAGTGAGGTGCCGAAGCTGGCAGATTGATCGGGAAACAAGGTGTTGCACTCAGGATTTGGATGTGCAGCTTATGTTTTTGGACTGGTCCATGACACTGGCTACGCTGAGGTTCAGGATTGAAGCAGATTCGGGACATGTCGCAGTGCAAAGTGCAATTAGGTCATGCCCTGAAAGTGTGAAAGTGAGGGAGTGAGCCGATGGAGATGATTTTCGGCACCAGAGCATTTGCAGTCTCAAATGCTAAGGCCAAACCCCAGATTCTCAAGGGAACAGGAGATGTGATATCAGTGGACCTACCGTCGAACACATGGCTAGCGCAATTCATGCGCCAGAGTCTCAGAGTTGTAGTCGTTGCTCGCTTGATCTTGATGATGTGGTTGTTGTTGTTGTTGTTGTTGTCGTCGTCGTCGTCGTCGCTTTCGCTTCTTTGTTGCCCTTTCTAGCCTGTTCCTGTAGACTTTGATATAATAAAATTGTTGAGCAATGTGTTGTTTCCGAATCTGCTGCAACAAACATCTCCCTGGCCATAAGGATAGGAACCAGGCTTTTCGACAAAGCAGCACAACAAGTCCATGCCTTGGAGTTGCTGGTCATTTAGATTTCGGTTTGATCAAGCACTTGATCATTTTGTCACCGGCACCCAGGAGCGTGTGCAATTGTCTGTTGCTTTTCCCAATGGTTACGTTGGACGTGTGATCGGCAAAGGTGGGTCTCGAGATGCTATGAATGTTGGTGGCGCTGTTGTGTGGCTTTCTGTATCGATGACATATTTGTAGCATTTTGTAGCCTTACGGCCCTACCCTTTCTGAAGAGTTATCATTTTGGTGGCACCGTCGTCGTGCAAAAAATTGGGATCGCAGGTGGTTCAACCCTGAAGATCATCTCCGATCAGACTGGCGTGGAGATGAAGGTGCTGAAGGATACAGTTAGTGACCAGGTGCCTGCGCCAGAAACCAAAGAAACATCAAGGGACTAGTAGAAACAGTGGAAAATTGTAGTAACATGTAGTAACCCTTGACAGCTTATTTGGCAAATGAACACCTACCGACCTACCAATACTTCACAATATTCACCAAGGATTTCCGATGATTTCCGTCAAAAAGGCGAGTTGAACGGCAGCCACATCCCCAAAGATCTCTCGCCAGGGGGACCGGGTTGGTCATCTTACTGGAATTCCCAACCAGCTCGGAGCCGCCATCCGAATTGCGTTGAATGCGGTGCGGCTCCACATTGGGCGGTCACGATTGGGACAAGGGGACAGGGTCAAACGTTTCAGAGATCAAATGATGGTCGTTGAGTTTCTCGTCTCGTCATGTCGGCTGCAATTTAGTGGCCTACTTTTTGCGGAATCTTTTTTTTTCGTATCTCGGAGGATGTTGCCATGCATGAACAGTGGGAGGGTGGAGTTGTGTCCGGTTTTGGTTGGAGATTAAGACTTAAGAAGTGATAAGTGACCATGACCATTCTGGTACTGTCGGCTCAAAAGTTGATACAAACTCCATATGTACTGCGTTGTTTGTGTTTTTTTTGGTTGGATTGCTGGGCAGTGCGACAGATGATGAGCACAGTCTCAAGTAGCAACCCAAAGAAAAGCGTAGATTTTTCACATTAGCTGGGAATCTTGTTATGTGAGGGCTCACTTCATATGGATTGGAATATTGGAGTCTTTTTTTCACCCGTGCTGTGCCGCGAGAAAAATAGCCATGACAGAAGGACTTCGTGCATTGTGCGCACAGTGCCGAAAACCCCTCTGTGGTGCGGTGCTGGCAAGCGGTTGCAATCACGTGTGCCTGGGAATGTTTTGAAGAGCTTGGGATGGCATGGAGTGAACCGAGGAAGTTGGGCTTGTGCCAAGACCTTCACCATTTGACCTGCGACAATTCTCGGCGTGTTGGAATCCAAATTTTTTGGTCATCTTTCAGGGTGAACTAAATCTTGACGCGCCAGCATTGCCCTGCCGCAGGTTTCACAAGCCTTGCTTTGTGGCAGGTGCCAGCTGCGGCCACTGTGGAGAAACCTTACGCAGCGAGACCTCGTTGAGAAACCTGGTTGTCAAAAAAGGGGGACAACGGCGAGGGATGCGTTTATTTTTTCAGACTCCTTCTGACATTTCTGACTCATTCTGCATGATTCCGGCAATGTTTATCCGAGGGTTTGATCAGCACCATGGTCCTCGGATTCTGGGCCTTGCAATTATGTCTTTTTGGTTGGTTGCTTTCCGAGGCCTCTACAACTTATGCTGCGAAGAGAAGAGTGAATATGCTGCATATGCTGCGGATGTCATGGCTGCTGCAGCCAAACTGAGGGCATCACTCGAAGGTGCCGGATTTTTTTTGTCCAATTTGGTGACATATATTATATGACACACATATATATATATATATTATATAGAGTCTGAATAAATTGTCGTAATTTTCCGGGCTCAGCTCGATTCGACTTTCATGCGCAGGATTGCATGGGGTTCAACATGAGCCAACCTTCAATGAGTCTTCTGGTTTGGTCCATGTGAAGATGAATCGGTGCTTCACTGTGGCAGGCATGGAGGATGCGGATGGCACGATCTTTGACCCTGACTTTGTGGTACAGGATGGGATGGCCCAGGAAGTGAGGATGGGAGCCATGCTGTGCCAACGCCAGGAGTCCGAAGGACGTGGGGTGGACGAAGTGGCCTTGCTATGCTTGAAACGTGAGAGGATCAACTCCAAGAGATTCTTGGTGAAGATGTGTGCGATTCTACTTGTGGAGTCCTTGTGAGTCTTGATGGATGAGTATTTAGAGGATTTTGTCCTTCATGCTTTGTCAGGATAGGCTATGATTCAACTATGATGTGGTTTCATGTGGTTTCATTACTCCTCTCTTTTTCATCAACCCAAGAACCCTCAGACAGATACTTCATTTCCTCATCCCGAAGCATCTTTTGTGCAGACTGTAGAGTTGATATGGGGCCAGTATATACAGTGGTACAGGGTTGTTTTTAACCCATTGAGCATTGGCCCAATAAAAAATGCTGCTGGTTTACCAAGGCCGGCCCCTTCCTCCAATTTTTAAGGGATTGTCTCGCGTGTTCTTCAATGACGCCAAATGTTTCGTTGTGCAACAGCCCTGTGCTGCCCAACAAAATGGCAGGACCTGGCAGGAGTTTCTAGACAAGAAAAGGTGTTTGCCAAACAAAGTGGGTGCTTGCTTCTGAAATAATCTTTGATTATTGCATCGTCAATGTGGGTGTTGTAAGTGTGCATGAAAATGGGGGAATCCGGGATACCCAAGATTGGCTACTTGAATAACTTCAATAGGCAAAAAAATGATGAACCATAGGACTTGGGTTACCCAACTTATCCCTTTTCAGACAAAGCCATATGCAAAATATATTATTTGCCAAGCTTTTCTGGCCAAGCTTCATAGCCTCAAGTCATGCCAGAAAAACTCCCAAGGAGAAGAGCTGGACTCGGAGAAATCAAGGCTCCACACATCACTCGAGACGCTGGAGCACCAGCAGAGGAAATTGCGGGTCCGACAGAGGATGACAGAGAAGCTCCAGGAGATTGAGTGTTTTTTTTGGAAGGGCCCCACCATGAAAGTCATGAAAGGCCCCCCAGTAGCAGGTTGTAACTGGGGGACACTCCATTGAATTGGCAGTTGGTTTTCGGGTGATTGGGAGTATGTATCGCACTGCGGCGGGGTTGATCCAGTTGCTCATCCAGTTGCTCATCCTGGTGTGGTCGGCTGTTCTGGCGCGGCTGTTTACTTCCAGTCACCCACAATGCAACTTGTGCTCCTGAGGCATAAAACTAGGAGTGCCAGGGTCACTATGGCATCAGTAACTTTTGCAGAGCCAGGAAGAGCAAGCAAGCGAGAAGAATAAGATCCAACGCTGCAATGAGTCATGGTTGCACCTTGGGAGGGTCCCATTCTCGTCTGGGATGATGCTGCATCGTGGTAAAGTTTGGCAAGTTTTACTCAGGACGATCACGAGAAAATGTTAGCTGAGCTGAACGAGGTTCGGACTGGCAGCACCTGGGTGGTGCAGGGTGGTGCAGGGGTTTGAGAGGTTGTTTCAGTCTGTTCCGTTTGACTGACTTGAGTGGTTCTACGTTTGACATGCTGTGGTCCCTTTGGAGGGAATCACAATTTGAATGTAGTGGTGTCCTCGCTTTGAAAGAAGGCATGGAGTGGGTGAATTTATACTCACACAGTCCACAAATATGGGTGATGCAAACGTCATCGATCGAGGTGCGGCAACGTGCTACTATTGTGGAGTATTGGGACTTGCTTCGTAATGGTCAGGACTGAGTTTTGGGAACGGATTGCCACCCTGCCGTCAATCGAGTCACGCAGTGTGAAGAATGGTGGCAAGGAGGATGAAGCTCTCCAAAAGCTCACGGCGCTCATTAGAGACTTGGAGAGAATGCTTGAACTGACAAGTCCTGGGAGTCTTTCAAACTGTGAACCAGCAGCGTTGGCCAAGCTGAACAAAACTGCCATCATAGTGCTAAGATGATATATTTCGAGCGAATGGGGCTCAGTTGTGAGGCATGATCTCGCACCCGTGGAAGATACTTGCGCACATGGCACGACTGAGAGATCACTATCGAAAGTTGTCTGTGTCTTGGCTGTATTGTGGCATGGGCAAAAAATGCCTTGCATGCTGGAACAAATTTGAGTCATTTTTGCAATTTTGCGTGTTGGGGCTGTGCACCACAGCAGCCGATGCAGATCCGCTTTGGAACAAGGACAACCACGACCGTGAGCGTGCCCAAGCAGATCGGCAGCTACAGCATTTAAATCGCGAGCGGGACGAGTTGGAAAGGCACGGAAGGGGTCAAAGGCTGCTGGACCAAATTATGCGCTCCCTTTGTCCATTCTTTAAAGTCTTGAAGATTTCGTAGATTTCTTGAGATACACAGGCCCAGATACATACATACATGCATACATGCATGCATACATCCATCCATCCATGCAAAATGCATGCAATGCATGCAATGCATGCGATGCATGCAATGAATGCAATGCACGCAATACATGCAATACATGCAATACATGAAATACATGCAATACATGCAATACATGCAATACATGCAATACGTGCAATAGGTGCAATAGGTGCAATAGGTGCAATAGGTGCAATACGTGCAATACGTGCAAAACGTGCAATACGTGCAATACGTGCAATACGGGCAATACGTGCAATACGTGCAATACGTGTAATACGTGCAATACGTGCAATACGTGCAATACATGCAATACATGCAATACATGCAATACATGCAATACATGCAATACATGCAATACATAGATACATAGATACATAGATACATAGATAGATAGATAGATAGATAGATAGATACATACATACATACATACATACATACATACACACATACACACATACACACACATACACACATACACACATGCACACATACACACATACACGCATGCACGCATGCACACATACACACATACACACATACACACATACACACATACACATATACACATACATACTCATGCATACACATACATACACATACACACACACATACACATACACAGACATACATACACATACACGGACACACATACACACATACACACATACATAGACCATACATAGACCATACATAGACCATACATAGACCATACATAGACCATACATAGATCATACATAGATCATACATAGATCATACATAGATCATACATAGATCATACATACATACATACATACAGACAGACAGACAGACAGACAGCCAGGCAGGCAGGCAGGCAGGCAGGCAGGCAGACAGACAGACAGACAGAGAGACAGACAGACAGACAGACAGACAGACAGACAGACAGACAGACAGACAGACATACATACATACATACATACTTATACAGACATACATACACGCATGCATACACGCGCGCCCAGATACATACATACATACATACGTACGTACGTACGTACGTACATGCATTCATGCATCCATCCATCCATCCATCCATCCATCAATCCATCAATCCATCAATCCATCCATCCATCCATACGTCCATGCATCCATGCATCCATGCATCCAGGCATCCATGCATCCAAGCATCCATGCATCCATGCATCCATGCATCCATGCATCCATGCATGCATCCATCCATGCATGCATCCATACATGCATTTGCATACACATACGCATACACATGTACATGCACATGTGCACAGTAATAAATATGGTCTCCCTGCTACATTACATTTGAACATTTTTTTTCAAAAATTGAATTTCATGTACAATGGCGTCGCCGAAGGTCCGTGTGGAGGGCGCAGAAGCGGAAGCTGATGGGGTGAGCTCCAGGGGAAATTGGAGCTTTGACAGCCTTGGTGAAGGTTTCCACATGAACACAGGAATTGTATCGTCCCAGCATCATTTTTTTGGTGTATGACATAGAACTGTGTGAAACACCTGATGGAGTCATGATAATCATGATAATCATGATAATCATGATAATCATGACCTGGTCCTTCTTTCACAGCTATCGCCAAGGCATGTCTTCTCAGTTAATGAATGCATGCAGCATCAAATTCCAGCTTCGAAAAGGGAGTGCTGCCTCTGCTGCTGCCGGACTTCTTTAGCTTACCAAATCAGGGCTGTCTCCTCATCCCGCTTCTTGCATTCATCCAGAATGGTGAGCCTGCTCAAGTGCTTAGACTGTCTGCGCCAAAGCCAAGCTTTTCGTTCAATCCGGTGGTTGTGTTGGGCTGGTTGAAGCTGGATTCTTGTACCGAGGTCAACGGCAGTACGCCTGCCCCTGCCCCGCAGCCCCATCCCCAATTGAGGGGCTTTGGATTGGCACGTGCTCGCGGTCCACACACGTTGTTTTCATTTGCGGCTGCTTGCCCATCCCAATGCTAAGGATGAACAACTACCAGGAGTACAATAGCTATCGCGGCCAGTCCGGCCAAGGTATGCAACAAGGCATAAACAACTGGCCAGAGGCTGAGGAAAGGAGGAAAGCAACTGAAAATCATATTGTTGTGGTGGTATTCATGTGGCTGCAAAATCCACTCTTTTCATGGTATTTTGGCCCCAAGGCGCGCACAAGCTGGTGGAAACAGCACCGGTCCCATGGGTGGCCCCATGGGTGGACCCCCCGGTCCCATGGGTGCTGGTCTGACACAGGTCAGGCCGGCCAGTGGTACCCCTGGGGAGGTGCAGATTCACATGGTCATCCCATCAAAGCTAGGCACTCAGGCTCTCAGGTCAGCAAAGCGCCCAGCGAATTGACTGCATTGACTGCGCCTGAGGTTTGTCGGCTGTATCCTGGGCAAGGAGGGCTCCCAAATCAAGTCAGCAGCCCCAGATGCACTGCATCGCAGGATCTACAGCGCAGATTGTATCGTTATATCGTTGCTCCCAGTGACCAACCAATGAAAAGGCAACACATCTTCCGGTTCGGCTATATAATATACATATATGTACACAAACGCAACACTGCTGTTTTCGCCCCACTGGCACCCATTTGGTTGGACTGAGGCAACTGCTTTCAGATACAGGATGTACACACTTGTCAGCCTGGAAGCCTGCTGTGGATGGAGATCAGGTCTTGTACTTGAGTCCATTGAGTCCCTGAAACAAGGTTCACAGAAAAACCACATTCTGACAGTGGATCTTAACCATGTGCATTTTGGATCTTCCAGTTTTTGTATCTTAACTTAATCTTAACCAAGCTTTATGGCCCTTCTAGCCTTCTCATTGGATCACCTGAAGGTCGCGCCCACTCCTGCCTTTTCTCGTGGCTCGTAGCGGCACAGCTGGACACACACATCTGCCACGGCACGTCGCCATGAAGAAGGGCCGCGCCGCCAAGCAATGCAAGATGCGCATGGCGCAAGGTTGTAGCGTGGCATCGCTGCTGAACTGTGCTGACAATAGTGGCGCCAAGATTTTTGGCGAAAAATCATGGTGCGATCGACATGTCATGCGACATAGACAAGGAACGAAAAGTAAACCAGCATGGCAAAAGCAACATAGCGGGGAGTAACTTTTCTTTTAGGTGATCCCATGGCAAAAGCAACATGGCTCCTTGCAGGATTTGATTTCCCTGGAAACGCCCTCGACCATGATTTTCCGATCTGGCTTCATTCCAGCTGTACTCGCTGATGTGTTTCCGAGCGCTAAGGAACCTCTACATCTTTGCAGTGATTGGCATTGGTGGACGCTTGAACAAGCTGCCCAACTGTTCTCCCGGAGACCTGGTCCTCTGCAGTGTGAAGAAGGGAAAGCCTGAGCTCCGAAAGAAGGTCCTGAAGGCAGGGACTTGACCGAAAGTAAGTAGGGCCAAGTAGGGCAACATGACCAGATTGATGAGATATAGAAGAACATCCTGAACATTCCTGAAATCCCATGAAAAGTGACATGGGCAAAGGATTGTCATTAGCCATCATGTCTATGCGCATGCTTCCTGAAATACAGATGTGAAGCGTGAGACTTGGATCTTGCCTCAGGGTGTGGTGATTCGGCAGAAGAAGGCGTGGCGACGACGTGAGGGCGTCTTTGTGTACTTTGAGGACGCTGCGTGCCCTTGATCCGCGACCAATAGATGGAAGATCGAGAGAGTGTTGGTGTGTCCCACGTCCAAAGCATGAAGGTATAGCAGCCAAGGAGTGCACCGGCAACAAAGGTATAGCAACCCCAAGAAAGATGGAGCAATTAGAAAAGTCAAATCACACCCAATTTTCTGCATGCACCCGGTGTGGTCCAAGTTTAGTTTTTACACCCAGCCATATCACTGTAGCCAGGACAACGCAGGAGTCATCGTCAACGACAAGGGAGAGATGAAGGGATCTGCCATCCAGGCCCGTTCTGAGAGGTTTCATGTGGGTTTGCCCATGCGCGGAGTGTGTACCAGTGTACCCAATATCCACAGGTTCATCACCACCGTGCCACGCTGGGCGTCCCACGTAAGACGTACGCCAGGGCCCTGTGGCGAAGGAATGCGCCGAGCTGTGGCCGAAAATTGCCTCCTGCGCACCGGCCATTTGCTGAGCTCCCGGATCCCGCGGAGCAGATGGGGACCAGCGCGAAAAGAACGGTGGATGGGGACCCTGGGATGGCCATTGCTGGTGACCCATTGGACCACTGGGCAGTTGGAGTTGGCCAAGGGGGTTGATTCCTTCACATGCCAAGTAGCGATATTTGTTGGTGGCAGGGTATCCTTGTATTGGAGCCCTGAACACGAAGCCGTTGTTTGCGCATGAGTCTGTTTAGCCTTTTTCAAGCTGGTTCACGTGGCTTTTTTTGTGGGTTCACTTCTGCAAACCGCACTTCTGTGGCGCCGTGCCAAGGTGTCAAAAAAAGAAGCTTACGGCGATGCAGATCGACGCGTCATCATGATCGGAGGTGGGATTGCATTGGATTCCTGGAGTATGTTGGAAGGAACGAAACTGCATCAAACTGCGTCAGATGACAAGCAAGGATGGCTCAGATATGCCTAATGAAATCCTAAGGGCCTAGATGCTCTTTTGTTAATTGCAGGACTCCCGGAGTGCACCAAAGCCCAGGAAGCGGTGCAAAGCCCAAGGGCTGAGGGAATCGTTTCTGGATTCCCATGGATCCCTCAGATGCCACCACCATCACGGGGTGGAATCTTTTCTGATTTGTGCAGCTCGAGGTTTGGCAGATCTACTCTGATAATGCACAGCAAGCTGGTTCGGAGGCAAGCCTCAGCTGCATCATGATGGCGGGGTTGCTCAGTCTGATCATATGCGCCCTGACGGAGTACGTTTGAGGACCCCTTGCATCCCCTTGCTTGGCGTCGGGGTGTTTTGGCGGGGTCAGAACTCCGTTGCTTTATCCTACGTATATATTGCATTCACACTTGCGCACCCAGAAGAACGCACACACACACACATGCGGTCGCGGTTTTTTGTTTCTCTGAGAGAGAGACTCTCCTGCAAGCAGCGCACGATTTAAACACCCAAAGCCTGGAGTTGCGCAAGTTGGCGATATCCAAGCATCCGCCGATGTTCACTTGGATTTGATTGAACTTTCAGAGAATCCTATTTTTGAAGGGTCACCTGACACTGAAGCGGGGCTCTTCACACTTCACTTTGCACTTCTATTGAGGTGCCTGTTGAGAAAGCTGGCGCTGTCATTGGGAAAGAGGCTGGAGCTGGCAGGATGTGTAGTTTTACCAATGAGATCCACCCAAACCATTTTAGGGGGCAGTCGTCACAAGACCCAGGTTCGATCTAAGAATGGTTTGCCGTTCCCTGTACTTCTGATGGCATAGAAGGGGCCATTTTTTCTCCTTGTTTCACACATCCAGGGAGCTGGACAGATTTCCTGATGCCTTGGGTCCCACATGTTCGACATGGAACCGTCACAGGGATCGAACCTCAAGCAGATGCGGGAAAAGCCGTTACCCCGGGGACCGGTGGCGATTGGTTGCCAGAACAGTCATCTGACTGCTAAGCAGAGCCAGACTTTGGTGCTGGACCTCTGAGGTTCGGTTTGAAAGTACTGCTGTCCAAAGAAGTTGTAGAAGGTGCAGGGCCATGTTGGCTTACTATGGCTTACTGACAGTGCTCACTGCACAGATGCGCTTAGCTGCTAATTTAGCCATTATGGGCAACAACCATACAGAAACCCACTCATTGCAAAGGTCAGATGACCATCTCTCACTATCAGCTTGGCTAGTTTGGCTGTATGACGATCCTTCCAATCTTGGATGTTTCAGGCTTCAGACCCTGCACGATGAGTGGGTTGCAACCTCAGTGCGCTACCAGCTCCAGCACATATGCGCGAAATTATGTACGAACTATTCGGAATCACTCAACTTGGGGTCCCTGAATTCGATTTTATGCATATTTTTGAGGGTGTTTACATGATGACATGTGTATTTGAACTTTTATATGGATATATTTCAATGCCTTTGAAGAGATTAACGTGCATTCCCAGGGTGCTCCAATGTGACTTTCGTTGTTTAATTTCTCGTACTTGCTGGCACACCTCCATTTCATATTATGGTAAACCAGTAGAACCTTTCGTTGGATCGTTATCCTGCTGTCACTGACATAGATATTAAACATGACAACACAAATGGTGGCTTTTCCATACGGCAATCCATAGGACTCACTCCCCAGTGTTTCCTTTCCCTTCTGCCTCGGCAGGGCCAACATCGACATGCTTGTGGAGGCGGAAAAGCAAATTTCAGAACAGGCCCTTCGCAAAAGCTTCCGGAAACGGCGATTGATTCCATCATTGGTCAATAATAAGTGTACAGAGAGAGAGAGAGAGAGTTTGGATTGCCACCTTGATTTTTGACAGTTTTGGTATCATTTGTTATCCAAAGTCACTCCATTACTCATTCTGTGTTGATTGTGGTTTACTTTTCAATCTTTTCATTCCCAGCAGCAGTGACTTTTGGGTTTTAATCTCCTGGGTCTGGCTTTTTTTGAGTGCTTTTTGCCCCAAAAATCCGGAACGCAACCATGACGCTGGAACCCTGGAACCATGGAACCTTCGGCAACGGGTCCGCGTGCCGCTACAGATCTCTGGCACTGAGAGCCCGATCTCCGGCAATGGCATCAAGAGGCCTTTGGAGGCGGGAGCCTCCGCAAAGACTGCACAACAAACAGGGTTATGTTCAATGTGAGTATAGAAGCAACCATTTTATGGGGATGTAATGGGGGCCAAAAAAATCTGGATATATATAACCAACTATATTTGGGTATGTCTTTTTGTATGTCTGAAAATTGGGTGTACTCCCAATTGGCAATTTTGATAAGGAAAATGAGGATGAACCATGAAATTCTTGGTACTTATTTTCAGACAAAGCCATGTAAGCAACAAACATCTAGGAATAATGTCAACCCTGGATTAATAAACCCCTAGGCTGTTTAATTGGGAGGGTACCATTTAAGTATCAGATAGTGACTACTGGAGGAGTACCCCCCTAATTAATAAACCATGGTTTATTAATCCGGGGTTGACATTAAACATTTTGGGTTTTGTTCTTTTTTTGGCGGGCCAAGTCTATGGGACAAAGGGAATCCATGGGATTTCTTGTTATCGACTTCTCCTGGACCATGGCCCGGCATCCTGAGGGCTTAGTGCCAGCCACTGCCGCCTACACTCAGAACGCCTATGGAGCTGATCCAGAGGCAGGGCCGTTTCTAAGCGATTGATGAAGGCACTAAAAGGAATCTAAAGGACAGGTAGGACCATTGGAGAATGTGGTGATAGAGAGATGCAAATCAGTATGCAAAGTATACATGAATAGGGATGCATGGACCAAAACCAGGATATCACGTAAGAGATCAAGTGACATGGGTGAAGATGTCAAAGCTGCCAGTTGGGATTTGAGGCCAAAAGACATAAAGCTATGCCAGCGGAGCAGCAAATCAAACTTCTCGTGCCTGCCCATTGTGCTGGGGCCATCATCGGAAAGCAGGGCAGTATGTTGAAATCAATCCGCGAGAGCCTGGGGCCAAAGGGCGCCACTGGCACCAAGGGACTGGCCATCCGCAGAACACCACAAGGGCACCCGTTGCGACCAAGGCACAGGTGCTCGGGTAGAAGTGCAAACTGCCGTTGGGAACTCAGAAAGGGGTCAACCTGGAGCTGGTGCGCTGGTATCTTAGACAATCTTGTTTTGATCTGTGCTCGGAGCTTGTGTAGAGCAAATGTGTTGTCGATATAGTTGCCAAAGCTCAAGCGCTCAAGCGCTTGGACAATTGTGAAAAGGGTTGTCTTCTTTTCGCTCCGCTCACTCCTTTTGCACTTGCTTCGCAATGGCTCTCCTGCTATAATAATATAATATAATATAATATATATATATATGTTTATCATGTTTATCATCATTTTTTCTCTACATGAGATTTGAGGCTCAAACGCCGCCTGAGTTTGACAACGCCCGCCTGCATCCCAGCCGGGCGAGTCATACAGACACAAGAACGGTCGGGTCACAACATACCGGTAGCATGTTTGGAGCATGGCCTAGAGGCCTAGAGGAGTCATGTTAATATGCGGAGATATGCTGCTGAGGTGTTGTGATCATCAGAGGCGACTTTGATGTGCGGCAAGCGGCTCTGATCAAGGCGCCAGAGTCGTTGTTTGAGCGGGCAATCATCCAAAATTAAGCCATTTTATGCCATTTTATGCCATTTTAATATTGAAACCTATGATTTTGGGGTACCCCCATTTTAGGAAAGCTCCACTTGGGCTCAGAGTTTTGGGCAGGTTCTGAGCGCGGCATTTGAGGAAAGCCAAGCGGCGCGGAGCTCAGAGATTGGGGTTCCATATGGGTCCAAAGGTCAAGCGTTGGATATACCCATGTTGAAGGATGATCATCAATCCATGAACGGAGATTTATATGTTTATCTCCATGACAGGAGATTTTTATACTCATCATGCAAATATTCCCATTTGTGGGGCTTCTTGGCCATACCATATACATACATACATACATACCTACCTACCTACATACATACATACATACATACATACATGCGATGTTTTGACCATGGCACACATGAGTCCATGCTCATCCTAATTGACGTTCACGGTGTTTTGACCATGGGCATCCCGCGACTGTGGCAGCAAACCCGGCCCAGAACGCTCTGCTGAAGATGATGGTGCCACGACAAGTGGTGGGTGCCCTCATTGGAAAGCAAGGCTCAAACCTGAAGGCAGGGTCCACCGAAGCATGGTGCGCTGGATGGAGCAGGTGGTTCTTTGTAGCGATAAGTGTATTTTGCAATTGTGCAACCGAAGACAATTTTGGGCAACTTTTTTTCAATGGATGTGCAACCTTCGGCACAAATGGAGAAGCAGAGGGCGCGACCATGGCTTTGGCTTAATACCAGCAGGATGATTTCATGCTATTTCCAGGTCTGGGATAGTGGAAACAACCTTCAGCTGTGGTGAATTTGTGGCTGACTGTGATTTTTTGGTTTAAGGCAATAAGAGAAAACAGCGGCATCAATGTGCAGGCGCCAACGCAGGGTTTTGTGGGCAGGATCGACTGCAAGACAATGCGCAAACTGCAAGAATTAACTTCTCAACGAACAGATGCACAGAACTGATGTGTACATCCAACGTGTGAACACAAACGCACATACACAGGTGGACATGGATACGTGGTGATATGTGAAAGAACAGCTGAAGGGATCCTGTATGCAGAAAGACGGGTATGCAGCTGGCTGCACTACATGGTGCTTGTCAGTTTGCAAAAAAAACTCAATGGATGAGACAGATACAGATGAGCTTGCTTGTATGATTCGTGATATTCTAGTGACTAGACCACCATTTTCTCCATTCATGCACGGTACTCACATGAATTGCACGTACGCACAGCACACATGTACCCCCACACACACACACACATATGTACATATATGTATGTATGTATATATATATATTATTTATTTAATCATATATTATATTAATATTAGTATATGCATAACACACACACACACACATATATATATATATATACATACACGCTTATGTTCTGCACACCTCTTTCTTTCTCAACCGTCTAACTTTCCTTCCACCTTATAATTAACTGGTACATGGTGAGTATATACCGTCAAAAGGTCAACACAAGCGCTCCCTGCAATGGCATGGCTAATTTTACCACCCATCCCTGCCATCACTTTCCTTCAGGTCCACAAACAAGAACTGCATGGAGAGCGTTTGGTTTGCTGCTTAGTTCCAGAGATCTTTGTGGCTGAGATCTTTGGGTTGAGCAATTTTTTACCAAATTGGGTGATTTTTTGGATATCAGATATTTTGCTGATGAAGTTTTTCTCAACCTGTAGTTCCCTTAGGTTATATAAATACACACGGGAGTTCCGGGAAACCCAGCTGTCCAGGGTGAAGTTCGCCAAGGTCGAAGCCCAGGGGCAGTTGGATGGAATTCTGCATGCTGCCAGCCTGGTCATGGGCTCTTTTGAGGTGTGGTCTCTCAGCACCGACGCACCGTTTCGGGTATGTTGATAATCCTGACTGCATGTGAGTGCCTTTGAAAAAAACCCGATTCTGACACTAGGAAACCCTATGTCTTCAACATGAAATCTGAAAGGAGGGACCCAGGAATCTATTGCAAGCTTATTTTTGCAAAACATCCACCCCCACTGCTGACGCTAGGCAGCGACGGCGCCCGAATACGCGCAGGAAGCACTGGGCTGCTTGCTTATTTCACCAGCTGAAATGAGTTTGATGCCAACTGGCTGATGGGCATTGCAATTTGCATCGGAATGGTTGGAATCTGTTTGTGCAACTTTTGTTTTTAGATATATACATTTTTTGGATAGGGAGCCACTCAGTGACCCAGCAACTCCTGGCTAGAATGATTGTTGCACCATGCTACCTCAGAATATTCCAAGGGGTCCAGGATAGTCCAGGGCGGTCCTGTTTGCTTGAGCCTGGGCCACATCTATGGTTGAACAGACAAAAACCCATGCTCGCAAGAGTGGCATAACGCATAGCTATTTCTGTGGATCGGCAGGACACAAACTTTTGTGCACACCCCAGCACAAAGCCCTCTCTTGGGCCACCATCTGTGGCAAGACAAAAGTAAAAGTGAATCGACAGTCAACCGGTGATCCATGTTTTGGAATTCACATCGGTCCAACTTTCTTTTGACTGTCGATCAGGGACTCATGGCCTGTTTCGGCTAGGGTCCATTGTCCAAGTTCCATGATTTTTCGTAAAAACCAAGGTGACATCTTCTTAGTTAAAGAGTCGGCAATCATATTGACTCCCTGGACCCACCGCACCTGCCCTTGTTGCCGAGCTAGATCGCTCTTCAGGATCGTGAGGTCGATCGCCGTCCTCTTGTCGTCCACATGCGCCGAGGAATTCCGGCACATCGTCACCGTGTCATACAAGGATCTGGAGCCCGTTACCGCCACAAAAGGTAGGCTGGCAAGCTGGGTTTCCAATTTTTCCAGCTCCAACTTTACGCCGAAGAGCTCTGCCAGCAAAAAGCGATGCCAGTGTAGTTGGCCTAGTCCTTGTACCATTGACTGGCACTCAGCTGACAGGGTATTCACTGTACATTTCTTCAGTTTGTAGCTCTTCCATCCTATGATGGAGATCATCTCTGGTTGATCAGAGGTCTCCATGCGTTCATCATAGTAGAAGAGGAGAAAACCTCCTTGACTGCTCTTTTTCGAAGCTTGTAGGAACTTCTCACTCATCGGTTTCTTGGTCTCCTTGGAGTCATTGGTCTTGTAGAAGATCGTCTTCCCTGTCCATGTCGTTGGAAAGCTCGAGTATCCTTCATGGATATCCCATTGATCCACATGGCTCTCTCCGTTCTTTACTGTAGTTCTTGTTCTGGAGATAGTATGAAGATCTGGTCCGTCTGTAGTACCTCCAGGATGGAACCGTAGACGTCGTTCTTGAACATGGTGCCGAATCCACAGTTTGGAGGTCTCCTGCCAGTAGTCTTCTTGGCTCTCTTCGCTTGTGTTTGGTCCAGCATTTCCCCATGACGCGTCTGTTACCACTCCCATTCGGAGCCTCTCCAAGGGTATTGGCTGTATTCGTAGTCCTAAGTGGGAGGTCTGCTTGAGGTCCTCCAGGATAGAGTTACCTTCGATGATGTCCTTCACCATCGGATGTGGCATTGTCTGTTGTAAAAGGGCTACTCGTCCGGCCACATCTGGTCGAGTCTCTTTGGAGATCCATGCCAGACCCCCGATGAGAGTCCTCAGATCCGAGATCTCCTTTGGAGTGCATCTGGAGAATTTCTCCCGTTTTCTGTTCTTGTCAAGCTGTATGGCCTCGATCTGGTTCTCGATGTAGTGTTTCTGTTGAATTGTCATCGACCCGTCCTTTTCGGGAATGATGTTCTTCCCCGTGAACTTTCCTTGGCCGGTGGTGAACTTGCCCATCTGGTAGCTCTGGCGCAACCATTGCATATTTTTCCAGTGTCGATCTCCTCCTCCATGAATCATGTCGTCGGTAGCCAGACCGATGATTCCTTCAATGGATTGGTCCGTTGTGCTTCGGAGAAAGAATAGGCAAGGGTCGGCTCGACTTTTCTCATAGCCTAGCTCTTGGAGAATTCGGGAGATATGGCAGTACCAGGCATATGGGCCATCGGTGAGGCCGTAGCAGGTCTTCTTCAGTCGGAGTAGTTGTCTCCGGTGGATGCCTGGAATGCCCTCATTCGGTATCTCCGCATATAGTTCTCGCTGGATCTTGTCTCCGGCGTGGAAGGCTTGGGTGAAGTCAAGATGTCCTAGTATCCATCCCAGGCTGGTGATGATCTGTAGGACAAAGAAGGCTGTCTCCTTGGCCACCTGTGGAGTGGTTGAGTCAAGGTCTTCTGCTCCATTCTCAGAGAATCCCTTCATCACGTGTCGTGCCTTTGCTTTCATTGGTTCTTGTTCTTTTCCATCAAGTAGTATTCCTTGATCACGTAGGTCAGGCACTTCATGGTGTTCGACCGGCTTTTCGGTCAGAACATATCTTGATTTCATGATCTTCTCCGGTTTTTCCCTCCTGATTTTCTCTGATTCTTCCCTACTCAGGAATTCGTAGGCGCCCGACTTCAGGTTGGTCTTGATCTCCTTGAGGATGGCCGCCTGGAATTTCTCCTTCTCTTGTTTGGTCATCTTGTTGAGCTGGATCTCCTTCTTCTTCTTCGGGTTAAGGTTCATCAACTCCGTGAGCATCGTCTCAAGATGTTCTGTCCTCATCCTTTTCGATGGTCTCTCTTCCTCCTCATCTCCTCCTGCTGGATGTTCTTGTCGGACCACTCCTCGCTCTCCTTCTTCTTCTTCAGGTCGTAGTTCTCCAAGTGGTGGATGTCCAGGTCCTCCATGATCTCCAGGTTGTAGGTCTTCTGTAGCCGCAATTGATGGTTCGTAGCCCGGCGAAAGCACCTCTGGTTCTTCTAGTTGATCATCCAGTTCCAACTTCCTCTTTCCGTCCTCGTTCTCCTGGATGCTGGGCATGTCCATGTCGTCGTTGGGATCCTTGAAGTCCACCTCCCCATGTGGTGTTTTTCCTGTAAGTCTGAACCGTGGTACTGGTGGTTCAGGTCCTTCAACTGGATCTGCTTTCTGCACCAGGTCCTCTAAGGGAGGTTTGTCCTCCAAGATGACATACCCGCGGATCTTCTTCTCGTCCAGGGCGTTCTTGGTGTCGACAAGGTCGGAGATGAAGTCGTTGAGGATGAACTTCTCGTCCTCGCTTACTCCTCGAAGGTGTTCAGGGCATGCTTTGACCAAGTGCCCATGATAGGTGACCCATACAGTCGTGGGTAGGTCAGTGAGGACCACTTTTGCCGGACCGTGCCAGTAAGCTGGACTGTCCTTTTTCTGTCTACTCATCCCTTTTCGCCAGAAGTAAACTGTCTGGCCCGCCGTGAAGTCATAGAACTTCTTGGGTCCCGCATGGATGGCATGTCGAAGTGCCTGGTTGCAGTCAGCTTCATGATAGGCGATTGCCGCCTGCTTTCTCATCTCCAGGGATCGTTGTACTTGTGCGTCTCCAGCGGCATATCTGGATCCGGTGCTGTGGTCACTTGCTCCTCCACTCAGGATACTACCCGGAAGTCTCGGATTGTATCCGATCATTCTTTGCATGGGGCTGTACCCTGATTTGTTTGTCAGTCGGTTGATGGTCAAACTGACTGTGTCGACTGCCTCATGCCATTCGTCCCAACTGTTGCAACCAGTCTGCATCAGTGTCTTCGACAGGATCTCCTTGAAAGTCCGTCCTGCTCGTTCGGTGATTCCACGTTGTGTTGGGGCCTCTAAAGATCCAGGTTCAAGTGCGAAGTCGTTCTGAGCGGCCATATCTTGGAAGGCTCCCAGGAACTCTTTTCCCAAGTCGCAGTAGACTTTCTCAGGTGGTCCAAAGATCCTGAGCCACTGGTAGAAGGCCTGGCAAGCTCCTGTTGGTGTGTGGCTCTTCAGTGGTATCATCAGTTGAAACCGGCTGCTCCAACAGATGATGTTCAAGGCCATCTTCAGCTTTCCTCCAGGTTGAACTCCAGGTAGCCAGACTGTGTCGACTCCGACAATCTGGTTAGGCTGTAGTCGCCGTGGTGGTGCGGCTTGTCGTGCTCCATCTACTCGCTTGTGTTGGACGCATATTGGACAGACCAGTTTCTTGGCTATCCGAATCGCGTCCTCCTTTGCTCCAGCATGTTTCAAGATGCTGGCCAATCTCTCGTTTCCAACATGTCCAAGTCCTCGGTGAGCTCGATGGACCAGTTGTTCTAATCCAGGAGCTCGTTCAAGAGGGAGATCTTTCCCAGGTACCTCAGGGTTCTCTGGTAGTTCTTCTTGTTCTGGTAGTAGTTCCTCTGGTAGTGGGTCCACTGCATCATCCTGGGATTCTGCAGCGACTAGAGTCTCGTGTGCTGTGGGCTCATGGCTCATCAAATTCCATAAGCTATCAACCCTGTGGCTTTCCTCGAGCAAGTCAAGGCTAGAGGTCAATTCGATCTCGTTCTCAGAAAGTTGAAGACTTTTGGAGTAACATGAGAGAATGGTGTCAAGAATCTTCCTAGGATACCTTGCAGCATGTGACGACCTTTGAATACCTTGAAAACTGCCAAGAATGTGTTGGTGTTTGTGCGTTCCATCACAAGTCCTGTCCAGTCCTTCAGCAACTTTCCTGTTGTTAGTCATCCATCCCGTAGGTTTCTTATGGGGAAGTCCTTCAGGGGAAACAAGTCCAAACATGCACTGGTCACATTTCGCAACAAAAACATCACTGCGTTCCATCAGCTTCAGCAAGTAGTGTTCCTTCCATGCTTTTGATGACCATGGATGTTCGAAACAAAAGGTACCCCCGTATTCCCGAACCATTTCACAAATCTCAATGGCAAAACTCAACAGAAGTTTAGCTTCAACCATTCTTCGATCAAACTCCTTTTGTTTTTGGGGGTCAGCATCCCGATATGGTTGACTCATGTTTTGCATCATGGAAAGAAGAGTGCATGGAGGAGAAATGCAAACAAGACCCGGTTTCTGATTCTGAATATACTGTCGGATAACCCGCCTAGTACCTTCATGCCTGATGTCATGACCAAGTTCCAAGTCAAAAGCCTTTCCCTGTTGTAAACCCCATTTGGTGGTGCGCGGTTGGAATCGATTGGGGTTATAAACTTCTGCAACCAGTTTCGCTTGACGCTTTTGGACTCCAAGCAGGCTCGCAAGTCGCCTGATTTTCTTGGGTCCCCATTTGGCCCTCTGGTCAGGCTCTATGGTACAAAGGAAGGTTTCCAGGCATTCTCCTGACGCCAAGCTGGGCTTTTGAAAACAGGTCATAATGTCCTGCCACTGTTCATGTGCCGATGAAAGTGCTGCTTTCGCTTGTCGAAGCAGTCTCCGGCCTCTCCTGTTTCCAATTTCATGCAAGCCCAAATTTTCCAGTTCTACTGGGTCTCCGAATTGTCCGCCATCTGATCGGTCCATACACCGCCGATCTCCAGAGCTCCCGAGGCTATGATCCTCCGGGCCATTGCTGGTGTCAACTGTGTGGACTCCATTGCTTGACGTTCTTGGTGATACACGGACTTGGTCAGGTTCTTCTTCTGTTTCTCCTTCTCCTTCTGGATGCCCTTCTCGGTCTTCCGGTCGATCAGAGTGATGCCGCAATCCATGCACTTTTCCAGGATCTTGAGGTCGTTGGTCCCCTGTCGGGACACATTCAAATGTTGGCATGGTGGTACTGCCTGGCTGCTTGATGATCCTGGATAGCCCTTTCTTCTTTTGGTTCTGGTACTTCAGGTAGTCCTGCAGGGGCTGCTCTACCGTCCACTTGAAGTATTGGCACTGTTGTTGCCGAGGGTATGGGCACCTCCAAAACAGCCTCCGGTTGTTCTTCTCCGTGAAGGACACAAACAGTCGGCATGTTGCTTGGTGGTCGCATTTGGGCGGTGTGCCCATCATCTGCAGCAGCTCCGGTGTGATCAGATCCTGGCCTGATACTTCGTTGTCCACCAGTTCCCAAATCGTTGAGGTCTCGCTGGTAGTAGACATTCTCGAGGGGGATGCCGTAGGTCTCGATGCTCGAAGTCGTGGTTGATCTTCGTGTAGACGATGACGACCAAGTAGACCCATGTAGATGTTGATCACGCCGAAGTGGTGGATCACAAAGAGCAGCTTTTTCATGATGCACCTCCACATCCACGCCGTCATTGATGTTGGTTCCTCCCGTGGTCGTTTGTGGTAGGATTCCATCACCTCGAGCCGCGTCGTTCAACGAGGGAGATGCCGCTGAAGATGCTGTTGAGCCAGTCAAATCGGTCCGAAGAACCTCAAACTCCTTACCCTGGGTTTCATGCTGACATTCTTGTTGAAGAATCTCAAGTTGTTTCTCAGAAAACTTACATAATGGAATCCTGAGCGCACCCGTTGGGCCAATGTGGCATGGAACCGTAACTCCAAGTTTCTTGAAATGGGCTTTCAGTCCAAGTTCAGGGTCAAGGATCAAAGTGGTCCGGCATGCCATCAAGAAAGGAAGGCTAATAAGAAAAGGGGCTTGTTGACTTTCCGGATTCTCAAAAATGGCTGGTTTTAAGAACGAGCCCTTCTTGCCGATACTGGTAGGTATCGAAGCCACCAATTTTGTGCACGACCTGCCATGAACACTTTTGAAACGATGCTCTTGTTCATGAACCTTGACCGGGATGGACTTAGGAATGTGCTCGATCAGGGCCTCTAAGGTCTGTTTCCCCACTGCCATCCTTTGACAACCGGTATCCAAAGTGGCACATGTTGCTTCGGGAAAGGAAACGGTTGGAATCCTAGGGGAGTCAATACCCTTACCATTACAACCCTTATCACAACCCTGAAACATCACCTCATGATCATGGTGCTCGGACATGTATGCTCGAAAATCGGAGCTGTCAGATTTCGATCCTACCGTCCCACCCTGTTCATGGGTCGCTTCAAAATTGGAGCCAGTCACAGGCTCACGAGATGCTCCGGCGCTCAGGTCTCCTTGTCCCAAATGTTGCAGGTGTCCGCAGAAGATTGCTTCTTCAGTTTCAAGGATGTGGGTTTCCTTCTGGTTGTTGCCCTTCGTTTTGTCACGATCAGGGCATTCTCGGTGCCAATGGCCCGTCTTGTGGCAGATTCCACACTTCGTCACCTTCTTCAGCTCCTCGATCGTCATTTTGAACTGGCCCTCCTTAAAAGGAGGTACTCCTGAGCTGGTCAGTGACATCAATCTCCCAGTCTTCCATTTGTTGTTGTACCCTCTGCCTAGTTCTTTCGCCTTTTTGGCCTTCAACGTTTGGGTGTAGGTCTTCCTCTTCTGCTGAAGGTACGTGTTGAGAATCTCAGCCGCCTCGTGCTCCTCCAAGGTGTCCTCCTCCCCGATCTCCGTGGCCTGCTCGATGTCCTCGTCTTGTAGATCTCGAAGAGCCTCCTCCACGGCGTGGATCTCCTCGTCGTCCTGGTCATAGGGGTCCGTCATCACATAGTGCGCCGCAGTGACATTCTTGTTCAAGGTTTTCTTGTCCGTTCCCACCTGAGATACCTGCAGCTTTGTCTCATGCTTACGAACCCATTCTCTGATGTCCGGAGGACGAATGGATCCTCGGGAAAAGTTGAGGTAGCTCTTGATGTCCGCATCGTTCAGGTTCAGGGCATTGATCAGGAGGAAGCCAACGTACTTGTCCGGCAAGACCACCTTGTGCTCCGTCACTTTCCTCATGGCTTGGTCCCATTTGCTGAAAAAGGACCGATGCCCTTCATCTCTTCCTCTTCTGAGGTGGTATGTGATCTTTGCCAGCGATGACAAGAGGTCCTCGTCCTGGTCGTCCCCGAAGTTCTCTGGCTTGTTCATGAGGTCGAGTAACTCCTCACCATTTCTATCGCTCTGCATCCAGTTGGTGTCCCTCGCCAAGTGCTTCATGGCCTCGAAGGGTGTCTTTGACAACTTTTGTAGTAAGAGAGGGCCTCTGGTGCGGGGCTTTGCCTTCGTCGTTGCAAGCCAAAGATTGGCCTTGATCTGGTAGTCCAAGAAGGGGATCTGCTCTCCATCCCATTCTGGCGGTGGCCCACTGCTGGACCTTTGGTCGTCACGACCATCATCTTCGCTATCGTCCTGCCTTCTTCTATTTCGACGATTTTGACTCCTGTTTCTCATCCAAGCTCTGAACTCATCTGAGTCAAAGCCATCTTCTCCGCCGCTGCCCTCATCTGGTGCAGCGACCTCAACATGGTTCTGAGACGCCTGAGAGCGTCTTCCGCTCCCCTCCGACGATGGAGGCAGCGGCACATCTTCGGTCGCCATGACCTAACTCGCCCAACAAAGGGCACTACCTTGCCCGGACGTCTCCGAGCTCCGCCTACCACTGTGGATCGGCAGGACACAAACTTTTGTGCACACCCCAGCACAAAGCCCTCTCTTGGGCCACCATCTGTGGCAAGACAAAAGTAAAAGTGAATCGACAGTCAACCGGTGATCCATGTTTTGGAATTCACAATTTCATATCTATTTCACCAGGTGTGGATCCACTTCTTATGGATTCATGATCTGCTAGAGCCCACCAGGTGTGTTTGGTTTGGGAGGCTGAGATTCATTTGCCAATGGGCGAGCCTTGGATGTGCCAGGCAGTTCCTACGAGTTCCATGGCATTGGGCATGGAGTGATGGCAAGGAGGTCGGCAACTGAATCTGCCGCAAAGGATGGATTGTACCCTCGAATAAATTCCCTTCCCCCTAATATTGAACACCCCCTTCGAAACCATGGTTTAGTAGGGAATTTCCACATCATTGGGACCATTTATGGGGTGTTTAATATTAGGGTAATGGGATTATGAAGGGTCAGGGATTTCCTCGAAACTTCCCTCACCAATTCTCGGAGTTGAGGTTTTGGGCCCAGGGTGGACATCGTTTTTAACGACCTCACTGCGACCTCACTGGAATCATGGCTAATTATTTCAGGTTAGTGACACATTCTGATGATTTACCCAGCTTAGTATTTTCACACTTCTCTTTAGTATAGGCTGAATTGACCATAAAAACCAGTAGAATAGCTACGTACACATGTCAAGTCACCTAAGGCTTTGTTTCTTCTTGAGATCCTCCCCACAACTTACAGTCCTTCGGATTCGGTGTAGGCCGTGCCTATGGCAGCTGTAGTTTTGCGGTTTATCTCCTGAGCCTGGCTGAAACACAAGCAGAGCCATGCTGACACAGTGCAGCAAAGTCGGGCAAAGAGAAGAGTAGAAATCATGGAGCAAGAGGCAAGAGTAGCAACAACTGTTTTATCCCCACCATTTGCATGTTGGATGCTCCCCCAACTCCCCGCCATTGAATGCCATTCAAAGCCCTTCAGCAAAATCGAAATGATTGCAACTTGTCACTGCAAGACACACCTGGTCCAAGCCTCGAAAAACCGGAGTTTCACTTGGATCAGTTCTATGAGGCGGAGGCTATGCGAGAGAAAATCTTCGCCCAAGATTGGATGGCCTGGTAGGTGTATCAGAGTGTATCAGGGTTGAGGATGTTGAGTCGAGGGATCAAGTGGATGCCACCACCGTCACTGAATGCATGGCCTCCTGACGTTGTTTTTCCCCTTCCCAAGGCCATTGTCCTGCGATCTTAGCCCAAAACCACAGAGCTTAGCCCAAAAAGACGGATATGGCCACGATCTCACCCAAACGGCGAAGAAACCATCGCTGCTGGGTAATTTTCACAATTGATCTTGACCATAGGTGACCATAGCGATGATGCTTGATTCCTAGTAACCAACATATTTTGGGATGGATTGCAAGTTGAAACCCAGCACACAGAAATCGTCCCAGCTTTCGGCTTAAGTGGCAAAGCCATCGGCCGCGAGCGGGGGATGGCCTGGTGTTGTGGAGGCGCAATGGGGGACTCAATGGGATCACAGTGATAGCTTCGAAGTCTCAAAGCTGCATGCTGACCATTTACAGCCGAGTAATTATTGTTTTTTTAGATTTGACATTCAGCTTGATCTCTCTGCGACAGCTGGCCCCTGTCCCTTTCTCTTAAGGAGAGTTCAGTTCCGATGAGGAGCAAGAAGAAGAAGAAGAGGGTTTGGCAGAGGTGCAGAGTGGCGAAGTCATTGCTTCACCCACTGAGGCACAGGTTGTAAGACCTGCTGCTGGAAGCCAGGTGACAGTGCACGTCTATGATGTGTCCCACAGCACGAAGGTTGAACACGTGGAGACCTCAATTTAGTTGATGATGATGAGCATCCTATTTGGCAACAATCAAGTCATCGTGGTTACAATCGGTTACAACATGTCACAACTACCTATTGCTATCACCCCTTTGCGACCATGGTCATTCCATGGTCATTCCTCTATCTTTAGTATGTGTACTGGCTAGTTGATGCTCTTTTGGTACAAAGATTGACTGATGAAATCCCCATTTTCGCGGCTTAAATCATATTTCCATATATTTCCCATCCCCTTCACCGAGGCGAATGACATTCTCTACCGACTTGGCACCGGGATCTTTCATGCTGCCGTGGAAGTCCAACCAGCTGAGTTTGGCGACCATTTCCATTCTTAATGTCAAATCCTTCAAGAACCTTAGTATCAGTATTGGATCTATTCTTTTTGGGGCCCATGATTTTTGATGATTTATGGATGCATTCAATATGGGGGAAGGGATTTATTTGATCTACGTATGAAGCATGGAGAGTTTCCATTGCCAAGTTTGGGTACCGAAGGGTTCTTGGGTGTGGGACTGCCCCATACGTCACCCCAGAATCCCCTAAAAAGATTGGATCAACATTTTGATGGAGAGAAAGGTTGGAGAGCATATCCACTATGCAAAAACAACAACGTAGCATCCCAAAAATGGCCAATTGCAATCGCAAAACCACCTTCCACACCATTATTTTGGTACACCTTACTTTTTTGTGAGCAAATGTGATCAGCCGTGCGATCACCTCTCTGCGACCTGGCCGCCCATGTCAGGTCTATGGCCTGGAATGGAGTTACGGAAAGAGTAAAGGCATGCCGGCATGCCATTCATCGCTGTGTTCTCTAGCAGTTGAGGTCAGACATGGCAGAACAGGATCAACAGGGTCAACTGATGAAAATCGATGGGTCCTAAGATTTGCAACAAACATATCCCTGACATTGTCAGCTACCAGCTACCAGTATTGCCAGCTGCAGGGAGTGGCGTCTTCAGTTGCCAACCCCGAAGCTGCAAGGCACCTTTTTCCGTTGCCAAAGGACGCTCTACTTAAAGCAATCATGGAAGTCATTCTCCGTGGGAACATCATGCTGCCGCAAAAGATGTTCCAGTTAATATTGTTCCAGGTAGGGTGTGTCAGTGTGCCATAAATTATATATATATTATACATATAGATTACCATAGTTTTGCCGTGCAACTGCATGGTGCTTTTTATTGAAACAGGGTTGGTGGTTTGGTGACCTGAATGCCTGAGGCACATCATTTCCGTGAATCTGTGCCCATGGGCAAGACGAGTGCCTTGAAGACACAGCTGGACGCACCGAAACCATCCAATTTCACCGGGATTGGTACTGAGCCAATACACAGGTACGTTGCCATGCTCAATACACACAGAAACACAGCTTTGCGCATATCTACTGTACGTCTGTGTTCCTGATCAAGATTCATTTCTCGACATAACATCCCATCAAGTTCCAATTAGAGGTTCCCGCACCATCTTTTTTGACTTTGTGACTTCGTGGGGCGGGGTGCATTGGGTCAGGATGGTCAGGCAATCTGCCGGTTGTCGTATTGAGGATGTACGCCAGAAGAGGTGCAGAACATTCTGCGAGAGATGAGGAAAGAGTGGCGAGGGTACCTGTCTCAGACACGAAAACTTGTGGTCATCCTCAGGTCATCCTCAGTTTCGTGGAAGGTTTCGATACACCTGAGGAACCGTATCGGAGTATTGCCAGGATCTATAAGACTTCATGAGTCACGTCGAACGTCACACGTTGAGCGTAGAGGTACGTAGGAGTTTTGGATCTTCACACTGCTAGGCCCTTTTCGTTTCCAAACGAAACGCCAGAGCAACTGTTTTGTCAGGGCCAGAATCTAGCTATCGCTGACATGTGCACTCTCGAGACGATAAAACAACATTGTGGCACCCCTGGTTTGGTCTTTTTTTTCAATATTTCCCTGATGCGAAGGAAACATTTAGGGAATGTAAATATGTACACCAAGTTCTTACGATTCACCCGGATCTAGCACGGGAAAACCTTTGGACATTGTACAATGATATTGTTGTTCTGGGGATTTCTCTCAGATCCACAGATCCACCATGTGGCATCGCTAACGCCATGAGGCCTGACTACGAACTTCTGAAGCGGAACTGCACTCACTTCTCGGATGATTTCTGTCGCAGGTGCGCAAATTCTGGGCCAAGGACATTGTTGGCCCACTTTTTCTGGTGAAATTTGGGAGGGTCGGATTTAAGGGTTTTTACTTATGGCCATTTGATCATCGACTGGTGCAAGTCCATGCAAGGAGGCCCAGTTTAGCATCACCTTGACGAATATACGTACTGTAATATACTGTGACCAAAGGCACTGGCACAAGCTTTAGGTAGCCTCCTTTTTCAGTTTGCTGTCAGCAACCCCCGGTTTTATAAGGAAACATCCTAGGACACATCCTTTTTCCGCGCCATGTCCGCCTTGGTCATTACTTTGGATTCCCGTACTAGACCAACCTTCAAGTTCTCCTACATTACATTGACTACATCCTTTCTTGCTGCTCGCTTCGGTTGCACTTTATTGCTCCTGTTGCGTTTCCAGCCGATTTCTTTTAAATGGACATCGACTCCATTTACAGGATTCTGGATTTGGTCACATCGCTCCAAGCTCAAGACTATGGGGAAAATATTGCACATTACCCACTATTTTTCATATTCCTATTTACTGCGGGAACGGAGTGCGACATGGGACCGATCTCCTTCAGGTTCTTTTCTTCTTTGATTCAATATTTGCTCCTTTGTTCCTGGTGGTTTTGGGGTCCACCTACACAATTCCATCGGGTCCCGTGTTTTTTAGGTGCCACATTCTGCAGCTATTCTGCTACAGATTTTCCTGGTCATTCCATTTTCTCCGGAAAATGGTGTTTCTCCAACTGGCCGTTGCGGAAAGCTGCGGACGGACGCGCTCCTGCTCCTGCTGAGGTTAGGCCTCCGACGATTGCCGCGGTGGATCCTGAACCTTTCAGCTGCTGGAGTGACGGTGAAAGGAGGTGCCACTGGTTTTTTTTTACATTGCCGTTGCCTTGCCAAGCACCAAGCATTGCAAAAAATAACATAACACACACACACATGTACAGTATAATGTATACTAGTATGTGCCTGGATTTTCCCTTGACATAATTGACAGGCTTTGTTGGTTACCACTGTTGCAAAGGGACTCCATCATAGGCCTATCAGCATATGACTCCCTGACCTGTTTTCATAGCCTGATTCTACGAATTAACCATGGATGATCAGAAGATGAGCAAACATGAACTATCTTAACACTGCTGAGGATTCACATGTTTCATAAACCATTAGCTAACCAACATTAATTATTGTACCCTCTGGTAATTTAACATAGCTATGGAAAGATCCACCATTTTTAATGGGAAAATCCACTATAAATGGCCATTTTCAATAGCTTTTTGTATGTTTACCAGAGGGTAGCAGTTATTAACCATAGAAAGTTGGCCTTGGATCGCAGGAGTGATCTATCTGAAGTCAGTCAGCTCCGCCCCCGGGGTGGCGGCTGTGGCCAAGGCGGGACCAGGGTCGGGTCACCTGGCTATGGCCATGGATGATGATTTCATATGGATTCTATTTACTAGATTTTACTAGTCGTTTATATTTTTACCAATTTATGTATATTTATGAATGTATGAGTTCCCCATCTATTTAATATTGATGTATTTTGCTGCTAGCTATTGTTTATTGATCATCATCATCATCATCATCATCGTCATCGTCATCGTCATCGTCATCGTCATCGTCATCATCATCACCATCATCATCACCATTATCATCACCATCATCATGATCATCGTCATCTTCATATCAGTATTATATTCTTTAAGTCTTTATCTGGTCGGGGTTTGGAACCTTTTTTATTTTTCCATATATTGGGAATAATCATCCCAACTGACTGATATTTTTCAGTGGCTCAACCACCAACCAGATCATGTACAGTAAACCATCTATAGATGGGCCATTTTCAATGGCTATGTTAAATAACCATTATGTTATAATGGCCCATTTATAGATGGTAAAATACCATTTTCAAATGTAAATACCATCTGGAATTTAAATACCATTTTCAATGTAAACATCATGAGTAAACATCAGTAAACCATCTATAAATGGGCCATTTTCAATGGCTATGTTAGTCATAACCATTATGTTATAATGGCCCATTTATAGATGGTAAAATACCATTTTCAAATGTAAATACCATCTGGAATTTAAATACCATTTTCAATGTAAACACCAACCAGATCATGTACAGATTGTACAGTAAACCATCTATAAATGGGCCATTTTCCATGGCTATGTTAGTCATAACCAGATGGTAAGTCTTTCTGTTCGTTTCAGATTCGCTCCATGTGTAGGCCGGAAGCATCGACAGTGCGGTCATCGCCCTGTTGGAGAAGGGCCGCGAACGGCGTGAGGCCACACACGGCGAGGCACAAGGGCAACAACAAACACTTTGGGCTAGGATGTGTATGATTTGTATAATGTGTCATTATCGATGTTTGATGATGTTTAATGATGTTTAATAATGTTTAATGATGTTTAATAATGCTTAATGATGTTTAATGATGTTTAATGATGTTTAATGATGTTTAATGATGCTTCAAGATGTTTAATGATTTCCAATTACATCCAATTTCTCTCTCTCTTTCTCCCTCTATCTCTATATAATGTATTTATAGTCTAAGTCTATATCACACCCCTGGCCGCAAGAGTTTGGGAAGAACTGCCTAAAGGTTCCCGTTTCAGCATCTTTCAGCCCATTCTATATCTACAGATGTCCTGGGAACGAGGACGTCGAGTCTCCCTTCCATGCCTCCGACTTGGCTCGTGGGGTTGTGCAGCTGGGGCAGGTGCAGGGAATATCCCAGTGGCATTTGAGTTGGCCTGAAAATGGGGGATATCCCCAATTTATGGCTGTAAAAAATTGTTGGGAAAATGATAAAACATGATAAAACATCATTGACCAGGGATTTTGCTTGGGGCGTACCTGATGTTCAGACCCATTTTGTGGCCGGTTGATCCGAGAAAGTATGATGATGACCATCAAATCTTGGGGGTGCTCCATTTTCAGAGATCCAATTTCTGCTGATTTTCAAACGAGCCAAGTTATAGGACCGGTATATGGAATGATTGGCACCAGTTCTGAAAGGGTTTGTAAAGCCAGTTGATTGAAAGATACATCTAATGATTGGGGGTAGGGGCCGATTTTCACGGCATGGTCTAATGATACAAATGGCTACAATCGGTGCGTTTTCATGTTGTCTTGGGTTTTAAATTTGGGACCCATTCCAACCTTCCAAGAAATCACCAGCTCCAGACTTCATCCAAAGTCTTTTGATTAGGTCTTCCCTTAACCACTTGGGGCCATGGTACCACCCATGGTACCTGCCCGCTGTTGGGCCCGCAAAACGCAGGATGTCCGGCATGTTGACCACGACGGCAGGGTCCATGTTCGCGATGTGATGGCTGGCATGAAAGCCGTACTGTACCGCAGAGCGACCAGCAACTCTGTCGAAAGCTCAGGGACGAGGGTATGGCTGGCATGACTGAAGAATCACTGAAGAATATTCTTGGTTGATTCATCCAATGATTCCCTTGCAAGAGTGAGATATGTTCCCCTTTAACGAACCAGGGTTTCATCCATCCTTCGTTGAGATTGCTGGAGAATTCCATTCAGCCTGTGGCCTTTGACAGCCCTTTGGTCAGGCTATACGGATGCCCAGTGTCTAGTGGCTCAAGGCGTTCCTTTCTTAGTGTTTCTTGTGGTTGCGCTGGCACGTTCATATTATGCAGATCCATCCCAAATCAGGGTTGATGATGTGGTTTGCGGACCAGTTGGGTCAGCCCACAAGGTGACTGGCCGATGATCTCCCCACGTAAGAGTTGACCCGAGCTGAGCTCTTTAAACAGCAGCTGAAGGTTGACCGAAACGTCGTGCAATAGACTGGGCTGCGTCAAATGTATGCGGCTCTATCAGTTCCAGATGAAGACAATCGATGGAGCTTCGAAGATCCTGCCACGTGTGCGCATTAAAGATCCTGCCACGAGTGCGCACGGCTGTTGAGTGATGTGTCAAAATCTTGATGCTGTGAATCTCTTTTGCACCAACATCTTCTGACATTTGTGGCACTTCCAGAAAAATCAGAGAGAGAGAGAGAGAGAGAGAGCCAAAGCTGCAAGCCCTGAACTTGGTGACCAATGGCCAATCATGACCATCCTAACTCCATGATTCTCCATGACCATGGCTTGTTCATGCTTTATCCCTTGGCTCCCAGATCCATCGGCGTTCCTTTCCACCGTAGCGCCATGGCGTTTGTTTTCCTGAGCCCTTGGCAACCTTGGGGCCCCATGGCCGCCCCGGCCTGGCCCTCCAGTCCCTCCCGTCCACGGCCCGCGGTGTTTGCGACGCCGCCCGCGGCGTTGGGTCTTGGGCTAGGGCTGTGCCTGGCTGGTGCTGGGGCGATGCGGAAAAGGGGGACGCAGATGCGAGCTGAGCCCAAGCAGAAGAGCCGATTCAGGCCCTTCTTCCGCTTCTTTAAAGGGGGAAATGAAAGATAGAGGGCATCCCGCCGAGAATTTTTGCTCGTAAGATTCTTTTTTCGAAATACTTGTCTGTGCAAGTGTGAATGCAAAGGCGAAAGAAAGTTCATTGAGAAATCTTTGTTTTGAACCTTAGAATGGCAAGTTCAGCAGCTGCCCAGCTTCTTGTTTGCAGGAAGCTACCCAACGGGAAATATGAGATAGACTTGTCGGTACGAGAGACGGGTACCAGCAACAGCGATGCTCCTCCTCTGAGTGTTGGGGAGATTAAGCACTTGCAAGTTCGACACAAGCAGATGCTAGGATTTGCTTGTAAAGTTTTGCTATGTCGCATGCACAAAAAGATTCCACCACCCTTTGCCTGTGCCCAAAGCGTTCCAGCAAAGTCGCTCCACTCGAGCTTTTTGAAGCCCAGGATTTCGAGCCTTAACAACTTCATGCGTCAGAGGCACAAAAGGAGTGGACGCCGTGGGGTGGCACCGCAGATCACGTACACTGACAGGCCCGACAACCCATGGAAGGATCGCTATTTGATCTGTGGGGACTGCGAGCGTCGGGCCAACTATGAGCGCCTCCCGCCCCGGAAGAATTGCAACAATTCCACCGTCATTGAGCTGGACATGACCGCGCCATTTTCCCGAGATAACTGTATGGTGACCAGTTGCGAAATTGTGCAGATGGTCAAGGAAGATCTCTGGGTTTTGAAGGATGAGCATGGAAGAATCTCTCCAGCCCCTGAAAAGCGTGCCCCTGCTTTTCCTGTGCAGGTGCTGCAGTCGGGAGAGCAATAGATGCAATAGATCACTCATGAAACTGAGCCAATGACACTTGAAGATCAGCCAAAGAACCATCATTAGGTATTAAGACACATATCGACCATCTTCATCAATTTTGACCAGCGTCCTGTAGGTTTTCAGGCGTTTCAAGATAACCCACCTTTGTTACATTCAAAATCCCACTAGTTTCCCCGATTCAGTATTGGACTATAATCCCTGATTGAGTATTTGATCTTTTTGGAAAAAAGGGGCCCTTTCCCAGGGAAGTAACATTGAGCGGAAGGGATTGCGATGTCATGTGGCCAGGTGTGTTGCGTGTGCCGCAAGACCACACTGGAAGAGGGTCGTCGCTTCAAGTTCTGCCCCGTGTGCTCGGGTGCTTCATACTGCAGTGAGAGCTGTTTCGCTCAGCATAATTTGAAACACCAGGCCTGCGCGATCAGATCTTCCCCAATCCAACCTGGGACCTTGGGATGGCGCCGCGGAATCTGGATTTTTCAATGGGAAACCCATCAAACTCTAGGAGAGTTTAAGATTGCCATGAAAGAATTCTAAAAGGGAATCGCCTTAAAACTAGTGAAGAGGCCAAAGGGCCGTAACAATTCTTCTTCCCTTTCCATCCCTCTGCATGGGAGGCTTCCTGCGTCAGACCTCACCTGCCCTACCGTGGTGAGTGGGGCATCAGAAAGGAACTTCGGCACATGAGGAAAGAGATCTATCCCCTCATCAACACCTGGGCCATCCGCGAGCCAGAGGATGGGACGGGCAAAGCTGAACTGATAGGGCGGGTCACCGAGCTTGTTGAGATCCATTTTTCTCTGAGAAGTGATGAAGATATATGAAGATCAGATTGATGAAAGGTAGGTGTTGTCCCACCCGGGCCTGAAAGTCCATACGGAGGCAGTTCAGAATCAGAATGCTAGTCCAATATGAGGCCTCTGCCCCTTCGTTCGATCGCAAGGAGCACAGGATGGCCTGGTTGCCACCACCAGAGCACCAACAGAGGCTGCTTGATGCGCAAAGGACCGTCAGAACTAAAGAATTGTGGAAAGTAGTGGAAAGTGTGCGGAATTAGCAATTTTCCCACCTTTTGAAGACCTACTTTTTCGTATTTTTTTTGGTGCAGTGCATGCCCCAGGACGCCCAAGAAGGTGAGTTTGCTCAGTGGCGCCCGCAGACGAAAGTTGCTGGCGGCTGAGGGATTAGCTCGAAGCAGTGTGGAGGATGGGCAGATCGTGGTGAGGAAGAAGAACACCTTGGCATGGCGAAGGCAACGGTCCTTCACCAAGCAGGTGGGGCCATGGGACAAATATTTCGCAGATGCCTATTTTGGCGGGGTGGGATGGGCGGGTGGAAGATTGCAGGACTTAAGTGACTTAAGTCTTAAGTATATACTTGAGCCATTCTTACCAACTTGCTTGAGAGGAGGAGCCGGACCAGCACTTCCTGGACATGATTGGCATGACCAAGGAGGAGTACCTGCAGAAGGACTTGGAATTAAAAGCAGCTGCCGAGGCAGACGATGCCGCCCTTATCACAGTGGAGGAGGTTGAGGAGGAGGCCGAGGAGTGGGGTTCAAATCATCCGGCCACTCCAGGGTAATTATATATTTATATCTATAGATGACTGGCTAATCCCTGCAGAACCTGCGGAGGGGTTTATGAATCCTTTGGCCCCGGCTTTTCCAGGAGGACTTGTCCTTACCCCTCGGCACCTTCGGTGGGAAAAAGGTGAGGCCGCGTACCACCCTGCGTGGCAACCACATCCCGGTGCCTGTGCGGGACGTGCCCAAGGTGGTCCTGGAGGAGTCAGCCATGGAGCGGGTGGAACAAGCCGTGGCCAGTGGAGAGATTGTGAACATCGATGAGAAGCAGATGGCGCCCACCAAACCAGTTTGGGACCCTTGGGCAGATCAGCTTGTTTCCCCGCTTCATCTACCTGTAAGGGATAACGTGGAAAACTGACGGGCCCTGATTTCATGATAATGAGTGGGGTCACAACTGGGAAACTTTGGTGTAAGGCAGGGATGCCGGGGTTATAGAGCCGCTTTAATTGGTTTTGCGGCTTCAGGGATTCAAGGAGCAAAAGGCAGTGATCTCATCCTCGGAAGCCTCCTCTGTCCTTCGTCATCCTCAACTCTTCTAGTTTTCTCAAGATCGCAGGTCAATTCAGACGAGGGGTGTGAGTGGTAGATCTGAGTTTCGAGCTACACAAGTAGCACTGCACCAAGGAGTTGCCTCGGGAAGGCCAGGCGAAGAAGTTTTGGAGCCCGGTGCCCGAGGAAAAGAAGCGGCCAGGCGTGCAATACCCGGAATCTCCCGTCCGCGAGCTGGCCAAGAAGTATGGCGTCCGCCTCTCCGAGGCGCCGCAGCTACAACCTGGCTTTGTTGAAGCGGATTTTGTTGGTTTTCCCAATGGACAATCAACCGGGAATCTATAGGGAATATGAATATGTCTGTATGATTTTCTGGGACCCCTTAAGCAAACCCAAGACAACCATGAGTATGTTATCTGGGCCATGATGATTCCGTATTGTAGACGACGCACACGAAGGGGTCGGGGCCTTGTTTGTGACGCCGTGTTTTGAGGCGTTTTGCCTGTTATTTGCACATGTGCAGGACCTTAGATCGACGGATACAGTAGATCGATCAAGACATAAATATATGGTCACATATAATTGAACATATAAGTTTAAATAGATAAATAAACTATAACTAAATAGATAAATGAATAAGTAGACGAATAGATAGAAATCAATAGATATATATAAATAAATACTAAATACCAACAACTAACTGCTAACTAACCAACTGACTGACTGACTAACTGACTGACTGACTAACTAACTAATGAACTAATGAACTAATGTATGTATGTATGTATGTATGTATGTATGTTATGTAATGTAATGTAATGTAATGCAATGTAATGTAATGTAATGTGATGTTATTTCATGTTATATATGTATGTATGTAATGTGATGTGATGTGATGTGATGTGATGTGATGCGATGCGATGCGATGCGATGCAATGCAATGCAATGCAATGTATGTATGTATGTATGCATGCATACATGCATGCATGCATGTATGTAATGTAATGTAATGTAATGTAATGTAATGTAATGTAATGTAATGTAATGTAATTAATGTATGTATGTAATGTAATGTAATGTAATGCAATGTAATGGTATGGTATGGTATGGTATGGTATGTATGTATGTATGTACGTACGTACGTAAGTATGTATGTAATGTAATCTAAACGTAAAAGTCAATGTAATGTAATGTAATGTATGCATGTATGCATGCATGTATGCATGTATGCATGTATGTATGCATGCATGCATGTATGTATGTATTGCAATCCGCATATTAATCGCAGTTCTCATCTCACCCATTACAGGAAGCGTTGGAGCGCCTGGAGGAAGCTGCTGAAGGAGCAGAGCACAATCGCCACAGAATCAGCTGGCAGAAGCCCATGCTGCAAGATGACGCTGACGAGAAGTTGCATAGTGGATGAGGATTCCTTTGCTAGAAAACACATATGGAGACATAGGGTGTGTGATAAAATTATAAACATGGGACATCACCGGACTTTGTTGCTATCAAAAATATGGAGGTTTAAGCAAACTGGGGATTTGACCATGGATATGGATGTGTCTGAAAACGGGGCCTGAAACCCCTGAAATATTGCCAATGACTAGTGGTGAATCACCAATGGATAGGTGTTCAGACAAACACAGGTGATTTGCGTTGTGAACTTTGTAGATTGTAATTGTAGATTGAACTGCTGAGCTGGCCATATAATGTTGATGGGTAGAGTGTACAATGATGGTGGCAAAGTGGTTGGCGCATAGCTTCAGTTGCGCCGGCTGGGGCCAGCAGATACTGTAGACGGAATAGATAAGTATATATAAATGTGTATATATATATACACATATTCACATGATAGTAAATCATCTTAACTGGGTCGATAGCATAAAAACTCTTCACTTGCCACAGGTTTGCCAATCAATTAGGGCGGGCATGTGCCGTTGAGCTTGAGAAGACGGCACTGAAGGCTTAGCTCAGAATGTTGGACGCGCGTCCGATGCTTGATGAGTTGAGGGTGCCCTGTGCCCCGAGCTCCACTGTATCACCAAAAGCGGAGAAGGGTGAGGCAAGTTTTCCTTTTTTAAATTTCTTATCCCAATTTCCACAGAGACTATACTGACTATACTTTTCGCCTCCGCCTCCTTTGTTCAGGGCCGTAGGTTACCGCAGGTTGCAGAGGCATCCCCAAAAATCCAAGCCGCCGAAGCCGGGTGGGACGAACATCAGGGGTCCACCATGGTTGGTTCAGGTCCACCATTTATAGTGGATTTTCCAAGTGAAAATGGTGATTTTCCATAGTTATGTTAGTTTACCAGAGGGTACCATTTTTTGATGTCAGTTGAAAACGCTTTTCATCACTTTTCTGGGCAGAGCCCAACGGCTCAAGCTTTGAAAGTTGCCCCAACACACTGCTCCGAGACTCCGAGATGGCGGCTTGGCCCAACAGACGGTCAGTGAGTTGCAAACTGATTCTGGATCCACATCTTTATTTGACAGACTCCCATTGGTGTTGCTTCATAGCCGTTGTTTCTTGGTCAAGTCCTGAGTGATGGAGTTTTGTTGATTTTCTTGTCATTGTTTGTTGGTTCAATCCCATTTACTAGTTTCATTTTGGTGAGACCTGCAGTATTGTTGGTCAAAACCAAAGCATGCTTCATTTCCAATCAGATGATGAGAAGATATGCGGGAAACCTCTATATTGAGTGATAAAGTCGTGGTTGCCTTTAGATTTCCATAACTAAACCAATCCATTGACCATTCTGCTCCATTTCCCGTGCCCAGAGCCTTTGTGGTGGCTGCTTTGCTGCCTTCTTTCCGGCGGACCGGAGGGGAGTGCCACCAGGGATCAGGGGGAACACTCCCCCATTGGGTGCCTCCCCGATAGCAACATGGAACACCCCCAAAAAGTAGTTTTTGTATGTCAATGAATGTAAATTATATATATATATATGCACATGTATACGCATATGTTTGAAGATGATTTCCGTGGAACTTCTTGGCGTGCGGCACGTTTTGGCGGCGTCTAACGTCGATATCGGTTGAACATTGATGCAGCTCTCGAGGATCCAACCTTGCTGGAGACGCGGACGTACAAACACACTGAGTCTAACATGTATATCATGTACATGTATAATCATATATGCACATATAGATGGATATGCTGCACACACGCACACCCACATAGATATCTCTTTACTTTTACATATCCATCCTCCAAACCTGGTGGCTTCCACCTCTCCAAACCGCTTCCGCTTTTTGGGGCCCCCAGGATTCTCCAAAGGCTATAGCGGACGCATCGGAGAAGCGGCCTCGCAACTGCAGTGGCTGAGTGGCTGTGTTTTTTTTCTTTCACATCCGGATTTGGGGGTTTCCTAAAATGGGGGTACCCCAAAACCATAGGTTTCAATACTAAAATGGCCTAAATTTGGGTGATTTGGGGTACCCCCATGGATTGGAAACCTCCATTCTAATCATTGGTTTACGGTCAAATATGCATGAAACCATGGTTTTTACCATATTTGATATGATTGATATGGGGCTTTCCGGTTTCAATTTCTTTGGGCCTTTAATGATTGAGATTAAGATTTCACCGCGAAATGGATTAAACAAACAATCAAGTCAGTGGCTGGTGGATTGAGGCGCCATGAAACGTGGATGCAACTAATATAGAAAATGTCGGTTGATCAATTGACGTTACCAACCGCTTATCAAACTTGGTTTATTTCAACGGACGGACAAACAGGAAACTGCTTGGAATGCGGCCTGCAATGGAAAATCCTCCATTGATACTTAATTTTCCCATCCAAATCCCCCATTGATAATTGATTTTCCCATCAAAACTTCCATATATAATTTGTTTTCGCATTGAAACCTCCATTTCGTTCAGGGATTTTCCGGCCAGCCACATTTGGTCAGCAGAGGGTCGGGTAACAATTTATCGAATCGAGGCCAAACAGTGGTGGAACCAGCCCGAAGGCCCGAGTGGGGTCAGCTGTTGCTGTGTTGGATGTGTGCTGTGCATATGCTTAAATGACCTTATGTAGATAGATGGATGGATGGATAGATAGATAGAGAGGTAGGTAGGTGGATAGATAGATAGATAGATAGATAGATAGACAGTTAAGATAAGATAGAATAGAATCGATTCGATTAGGATAAATTCGGATATATTAGGATAGATTAGGATAGATTAGGATATATTAGGATAGATTAGGATAGATTAGGATATATTAGGATAGATAAGGATAGATAAGGATACAGTAGATATGGATGGATGGATTGATGGATTGATAGATAGATAGAGTAGCCTCAAAAAAGATAGAAAAGTGTGAAACTGAGATGCTAGTTCGATGATTTTTGCCTCATATTTCCAGGTGTCCCACTGTTCGGCATCTATTTTACGGGCTGGTATAGGTACAAACACACAGCCACAGTCACATCTTTGACAAAAGTACAGCAGGCGGAGAAGAGCGGTTCCGTCCGAGATCACTACATCACCGAGAACAAAGCGTTTGGGGCCTCAGAACTGGCCTTCACCGGAGATGGTCACCTGGTTCGGGTTCAAGGGCAGGTCTGACAGCTTTCAAACGTTTTTTTTTTTAAGCAGAAAAGTAATTGTCGGATGGGTGGATGTGGGTGGATATATCTGTAGTTACATGTGATTCCCCGGCCAGGCATTGATTTCATCCAATACCCATCCACGTTTTTAAAGTTATGTTCATGTGTTGCGCAGAAACAACGCAAGAGTGTGGCTTGGCATATGCATGAAGTTGTGGACAGACAGGTGCAAGAAACACATTCTGTATTCCAGCTACGAATGACTTTTAGTGCTCCATTCATGGATGGCTTACCTGGTTTACCTCTTGCAAATCGGGATATTCCACTACCAGATGAACTTTCCGGAACGCAGACCACCACTTCAACATTTTTGAGGCTCAAACCAACCTGGATATTTGGTATATGATGCTTAAACTATTTTGAACTAATATCTGTGAGGATTGAATCAGCTCGTTTTTCCGAGGCTGGGCGCTGGCTCTTATGGCACGGTGTGCAAGGCCAAGCACAAGAGCCTTGGAAATGGAAGGCTTGGGATTGGCAGTGGAGCCTGCAAATGGTCAAGCCAAATGCCAAGTGGACTGTTCTGGCAACGTTCTAAGGAAAACCGGCTCAATACGTGACTTGGCTGCAAGGAGAGCCGGCACGGGCACGGACCTCGGCGTACAACATGCAGTTCAATGTCCATTCTAGTAACTCATCCATGCAGAACCAGCAGGATGGGCTCTTTGGCTCCTCATTTTCAGATCATTCAAGTGGCTTTGGTCTAAAAGCAGGGTTCCCTAAAAAAAATGATGGTTGATTTATCATCTTTGTGCCCATTATTTCGATTAAAAACATTGGGATATAACTGATATAACTCCTCCATTTCCCAATAAATCAGACGAAAAAACCGTGGGGTAAGGCGCCTTGAAGACGATCTGCAAGACAGCAGGAGGGTCAAGTTCCAAGGCGGGGCTGGGGCTTGGCGCTGGGTTCCAATGAAAAGAATTGTTGAAGGACCAAGTAAGTAAGCAAGGAAGGAAGTAGGTAGGAAGATAGGTAAGTAGGTAAGTAGGTAAGTAGGTAAGTAGGTAAGTAGGTAAGTGGGTAAATAAACACAGACACACAGATATGTACACACACACACGCACACACACACACATATATTACGTACACACATGCATCTGTATGTATCAGGATACATATACCAAAAAAAAAAAAACATCATTCAATCTCTTATGAGTCGTTGCGGCTTGGTAGCTTGGTATAGTGCAAATGGTGTTTCCACATGTTTCCACATCCCACTGGGATAGCGGTTTCCCAGCATAGGTCCTGGAACGCTTTTATTGCGAGATCGCCATCATGAAGAAATTGGACCATCCTGGTGCCTTGGAGCTGCCAAGATGGTGACATCGAAGCCAATGGAAGCCATGGTTTCACAGCTGTTTGTTACCCGAATGGGGAGTTTCCCAGCAAGTTTCAGAATTCCGGAAGTGACATCTCGAGGCATCATCAAGCTGTACGAGACGTTTGAGGCACGGGTTGAATACCTGGGAGTTTGATGAAAAATTGTGGATACTCGCACCCCACCATTTATGTAATTTTAGGGAAGATTTTGATCAAACATAGGATCTTGGGGTGCCTGATTTTGGGACCCCTAGGAATTAGGAACCAAACGGAAGATTTCCAGAATCTCACAGCTGGGTCCCATCAGATGGAGGACAAGCGGAACCTCTACCTGATCATGGAAATGTGTTCCGGTGGCTTGTCGAAGGATGACATTTTTAAGCGCTGCTTTGTTTTGGTTTGGGCATGAGAAACCAATGCTGTAGGGTATCACCAGACTTAAATATCAATCATATTTAGATGGGTATGCCTATTACATTGCAATTTTGGTGGGATGAAGGCCAATTTGCCAGATTTTTTGATGTTCACTAGGATACCAGGGTTTTCCTCATATATTCTGCTCACTTCAGTTATCATCTCCGAGTCATCCCTGACCTCTGTTGTAGCTGCATACCGCTGTCCACAGTTTCTCTCGGTAGAATGGCTGTTTGGCCCAAGTGAAGAAAGAAACATGGTTTTGTGCAGCGGCCCTGTTGCGAAAACCCCCTTGGCCAAGTATGCGGAGACCCTCGTGACGAGTGAATCTGATGGGGATTCGAGGAGGGACACGGGGTCCCAAGAGGGGCTCAGTTGCCAGTTCTCCACTTGCCAAGTGATTTCCATCTTGAAACTGGTGACGTCTCAGCCGGAATATTATGTTATTATGATTTTTTATGTATAGAATATAGAACTATTTAGACAAATAAAGTCATATTTCTTGCCCCCCTCTCTCCATTTCCAATCTCGAAAATGTTCCGTCCCTTTTGCCTAGAAGCCAATGGTATTCTGCTTCCGCAGGAGTGGTGTCTCAGAGTATCCCATGTACACCTTGCCATCTGAGAAGCTGATGGAAATGACCAAGATCCAGCCGCATGAGGAGTTGCTGTCTGAAGGCGAGCGGTTTATGGCGGTTTCCAGTGTTTTTCAAACTTGGGAAGCACGAAGTCACAGTTGATTGAATGGCGATTTAACCATCATACATGGTGCTTTAACCATCATCGAATTTGAGAGGGACATTTGCATGGAGAATTTCTCTGAAACAGCTGGGCACCCACTGGGAGCTGCTTTCAGCGGGCTGGGTCTCGCTCAGGTAGCCTGGTGATCTTTGAAAAAAAGTTGGGCCGGGCTGCTTTCGTTTCTCATCAGTGGATTGGTGGTGCGCACCCAGACCCGGAGTTTAAGCAGATGAAAGTGCTGAAAGACAGCCTTAGATTCTCGCGCGCAATCTTCATGGTGGGAGATCTCAGTTCTTGTGATGCCTTCCTGCTGAATTCTATAAACATATATATTTGGCACAGAACCTTCCAGAGGTGTTTTTGTTCTTATACAAAACTACTCTTCAGTAGTGGCACAGTTTGAATAAGATCAAGCTGCCTACCTCCGGGAGTCCTTGTCTATGGCGCCGAGGAAATCTCCAGTCCGGTGCGTGCGAGGTGTCCGTTGACTTGTTGACCGAAGCAGTCTACTTTCGCTCCAAAGGCATTCCAGCCGAGGAATGGCAGTCCAGCCGTCTCTCGGTGTGAAAAAAGTGTTCCATGACTGCTGTGAGATGAGGGGAAACCCAGCCCTTCCAAGCCCTGAAAGCTTGAAACACGGATAAAAGTGGATGGTAAACTGGAAAGGCTCGCCAAACTTCATCCGAGGCCTGTATTTGTGGTACGACTACTTTTCATGTCCCCAGCTGGAACACCAGACCGCCCATGGCCGTGTGACCGTGGGGAATCTCCAAAAAGCCATTGATAGCAACTTGGAAAGATGTGCTTGCCGCATGTCTTTGGGTGCAGCTCCCCCAAAAGATCAAAGCGTTCCCAATTTTTTCTTGATTTTTTTGGTTTCATCCCTGCCTTGGTTGATAATTCCAGGTCACGAGAAACGACCGCTCGTCCAGTTTGCATTAGCATGCCACATGCCACATCTCCAAGTCTACAGGCCGACCTTAGCCCGACCTTAGCAGACCGTAGCGAACCGCTGAGCCCGCGAGGTATTCCGGTCTATGTCTCCCGCTGTGACCACTTCATCGCCCTGTGCCCAGTGTTGCCCAGCACTGATGGCAGCAGGATGTTCAGTGACTACACCTGGGCGAGCAGAGGAGGGAGATGTATCGAAAGAGAGATGGTTAACCATGAAAATGCGATATTCCACAGATGGTAACCATGGTAACCGATGGTTAAAACGATCCCATGAAGGGTCAATGGTGGTCAATGATGGTTAGTAACCTGCTGACAGGGCAAACAAGGAGGAAAGGAGGAAAGGATAGGAAAGGATAGGAAAGGATAGGAAAGGATAGGAAAGGATAGGAAAGGATAGGAAAGGATAGGAAAGGATAGGAAAGGATAGGAAAGGATAGGAAAGGATAGGAAAGGAGGAAAGGGGAAAAGAAGCAAGGAAGGGACGGAAGGAAGAAAGGGATGCACTTCCAGAGGAATTATATAAAGGGAATATATAAATAAACACATTTCTGACAAGGAACATTTTTCTTGACCATTTGAAGGAGAAATAGTAAACCCGGAAGAGCTGGAACACAAGAAAGTCAACAAACATGATTGCAGGGCAATCACTTTTGCCCAGGCCAAGAAAGCGAAGAACCACATGTGTGCAGTGACGCCTTCCGTCCGACATCACAAATTCTTATAAATTCTTGCCTTGGCTCGTGATGTTTGGTTGCTGGTTTGCTGTTTTCTACATGTTTCCCCCAGCCTTTGCTCCCTATAAGAGGGAAGGGACTTTCTGACAACAATGGAGAAACCATGAAAAAAGAACTCCAAAGCATGTCCATTGCTGCAACCAAATAAAGAGTTGTAAGCAATATCCCTGTTGAGCCAACTGTTGAGCCCTCTGTTTTTTGACGTTTCTTTTTTGCCACTTTTAATCCTGATCTTCGCAGATTCTGCCAGATGTCTCAGTTGATGGCCAGGAGTTGTTGAATTCCTTGATGTTTTTGCACATATTAATCTTTGGATGTCTAGATAAACATAGATACATGTCATTTTGATTGAAGCACACACACACATATATATATATATGTATATGCATATCTACACCCGTATATATATATATTTATAGATACACTCGCGCGCTCTCTCTCTCTCTTTCCCGATATGTATACACACCATATTTATAAACTATATTATATACATGCTATGCTACGCTACACATGTAATAATACACACCTGCCCCTGCGAGGATGGTGCAGGATCGAGCAAGTGGTGCGAGAACTCACTGTGCAGGGCGGAGGCTGGCTAAAGCTGCAGAGAACTTCGCAACTAAGATCACACCCAGCAAAGAGGGACATCTCCATTGGGTGGATGGATATAGAGACATAGAGATATGGAGATACAGAGAGATAGAGATATGATATAGAGATATAGAGCTACAGGGTTATGGGGTTGTAGATAAAACAGGGAGATAGACGTATATTCAGACAGACGATAGATGAATAAACAGATAGACAGGCAGCTAGACAGCCACACAGCCAGACAGACAGGCAGCCGGACCGACAGTCAGATGGACAGACAGGCAGGCAGACAGAGAGATATACATGGAGGAGTAGTTTGTAGCCATGGTAGAGATCTCTACTTAGCTGATGTTGGAATGTGGAACAACCAACAGCCTGTCACCAGCCCCACAGGATCCTGGATCGTGGTGAAGAGTGCCACGCACCAGGAGCAGGGTTTCAAGCATTTTTTTTGCTTCAATCCAATTAGAATTAGATAGCAGGTAGGAGTGATTTACCTGGGAATTTGTGGCAAATCACGGAAGTAACCTTGCTGCTTGCTATGCCGAGACTCCTGGGAAGAACCTCCCAGGCCCGGGTTGAAAACCCGAAAGGCTCCACGGCATTTCGTCTCGGTAGGAGTTGAAGGTTTGCCCCTTGACCAACTGCTCTGCGGGAGAAGGAGAATTCACAATGGAGTCTGATCGAAAGCGCGTTGCAGGCGGGACATTGCCTCTGGGAGTTGGCCATGTGAAAGCTCTGTTATTCGTTGGCCGCGGCATTTCCTTGGCATGCTAATTGTAGAGTTTCATGCTTCATTTCCAACGGAGGGCCGTTTCTATTTTGCAAAGCATTTTTTTGCGTGGCAGGTGTCCTACAGAGGTTCCTGAAGAGGAGGCTCTTGTCATGTTTGGAGTTGGGTGATTTGCCAGCGTACCGCCTGCTGCTGAACAAGCAAAGGGCCTTCCTGCGCAACCTCCCAGCAGAACCCATTGAGGACGTGTCAGAAATTTTGGGGAACCGGGGGAGCCACCTGGACACGTGAAAAATGACCACCTGGCACAGGACTTGGTGCCGGGATTTCACGCTTCAGAAAGTGATGGTTGCGCAACCATCCTGGACCGTTTCCTGCATCAGAACGGCTTCAAGAATGCCCTGGAGTATGACAGTGCCTGAGCTGATGGTTGCCATGACAGCACGTCTCGGGTCGTCTTTGGCCTGTGAAAGTTTGAACATATCAGGCAATATCAGGCATGCAAAACTCATTGTTTTGGATCCAAGCATCATATATTGTCATACATCATCATTGTTGGATAGTAGGTAAAATCCAATAAATTTTAGGATATTCCAATTAGTCCCAATTCCCAATATCATCTAGAGTTGAAAGATTTGCATCAGCTGGTGACTTCCATGCACCAGCTGATTCCAGGTGCTGGATGGTCGCCTTTGTGCTACGCCTGTATGAACGGAACCCCTTTGGTGATCAAGATGTTGCTGGAGCAGAAAGCGAACCCCAACAGCAAGACCAAAAAGGCCCGCGCGGAGGTCAATACCGACAAGCATAGCACCTTGGATGGGCTGGTACTGAGGACGGGGGGTGAGTCAAACCCCAAGTTGTTGCATATTTGGTCAATGTCCAGCATCTAGCCGAAGTCAGTTGGATTCTGGGATGGTCGCAAAAACGATTTGTCTCGTCAACTAGTGGCCTCCGTATGTTTCTCTGATCTTAATCTTAATTGAAGATTTCACACATGTGCAGGGGTGCAATTTATTTCAGGGCCAAGGACCTCCCTGCAGGTCATTTCCAGCCCATCAAACGGATCGCAGTCCGAGGTCCAGTGCTGGCAATCTGCGCGCGCTTCAAAAACCATGAGGCCATGAAGTTGCTCATTGAAGCCGGTGCTACAGTGAACTCCAAGGCGGTTCACAGCCCACTAGGCA